AAGGAGGGGGTGCTTGATAGTTTAGGTTTTGTAGTAAAATGAATGGTTTAATCAAGCCTCCGACAGCCTTGCTGTATCTCTGCTCTGGATTTCAGAACGGAGGAAACACTTTGGCTGTTGTAGTTCGTTCTGCTCTCTCTGCTGGCTTTTCTGCCCTGGAGCTGGTGTACCACATGTCCATTTTTTCCTAAGCTGCATTTGAACTCTTCCTCCTTTCAGATGCTTTGTAACCTAACTACCCTCAAATGAAGCCCTTCACTTATTCCATGGACAGTCCAGGCACAAGTGTGAAATCCCTTCAAACACTATGGCTTTAGCTTTTGTTATAAGGGACATTCCATTTGGCAGAATAAGTTGCATTTACCTTCTGCATCGCATCTGAGTTTTATGAATTATGTGTAAATGTTGTTTACTTGTTAAAATAGTGCATGGTCTTTCTGTAGTATCTGTGTTTTATTAGAGTAATTTTAAAAAGAAAACCATTAAAACGATGTTACTACTGGGTGTCTGATTGCCAAGTTAATCTCTTATCACAAGTCCCATTGATCTTCTGTTTGAGCAGCTGAGAGTCTATTTTATGTATAGCGATCTTTCATAAAGTTTATTCCTGGTAATAAAGCTAACTGGGGTGAGTGCCAAGCTATTCTCAGAGGCAGTCTGCTCTCAACAAGAGAAGTATTTTATTTTGTTAGATGGGGTTATTGTTTGGGTATGTACTTGTGGCAGAACTAGAGAAATTGCTAGCGAGCAAGTCAAACTGGGTTCAGAGGTGTACTCTTACTGGTATGAAGTTAATGGCATTACTGTGCAATAGACATTCAGATCTGACTTTTAATATGATGCCCAGAATCATGTGCATTTTCTCCTTATTACTGTATGGTATTATTAAATTGTATTGTTAATCTCTTCTTTGGCACGGCAAAAACCCACGCTACAAAACAAAGCAAAACCCCCTCGGCCCTAGAACATGTATTAAGTGCATTCAGTTTCATTGTGTGTAAGAGGAAATAATTTTATTTCACAGAGCACAACTGTGTTGTTTTATATGAAATCATGTTGCTGTTCAGATTTTTGTAATCTGTCTTCTAATAGCTTCCATTTGTGTTGAGGGTACTTAAAGTGTCTTTATACTAAACATGCATGTAAATGAATGAAAAAAAAATTAAAAATTTATTTCAAAGTATTAGTAGTTAACCTGCAGTAGAGTTACTTTTCATAAAGTAAAGTTTTATTTTTAGTAAAGTTTACTTAAAGCTTTATTCCAGAGTTTTTGAAATATTGCTGTGTATTCAAGAAGAGCTCAGTAGCGGGCAGAGCATGTGTTCTGTTCTGTTAATTAGTTTGTTAATATTCATATGAAAATAGCAATCCTATGGCTATGCACAGCGATTTACCTAAATTCCTGTAGTCTTAGGGCAGTGCTCGGAAGCAGCAGTGGTTTTGTATCAGCTCTATGCAAATGCTTGGGGTTGCCAGGACAGGTTACAGGTCTCTCGCTGTTCCTCTGCTCTTATCTGTGAGCCAGACTCCTGGGGACTGACACCTACCTTCTAGGAAACCCATCTCAAGCAGTCTCCCCTCAGCTTGTTGCAGAAATTTTTTAATTACTGGCCAATATCTTATTTTTGGTCTTCTCCTGCTCTGGTGATGTGGATATATGGGAGTGCTTACAATTCCTTATGGATGCAAGGGGTAAGTGTGGATGCAGGTAGTGACAGGAGGGCATGGATGTGCCAGTGGTTCACACAACGCCCTTGGGATGGTGAGGGAATGGGGCAGGATTTGCACCATTGAAGGTGAAGTATTGAAATACCCAGGTGAAGGAGCTGGTGGGACGCTGGGAGTTCAGTATGAGAGAGAGGAGAGCGGAGAGATGCCGTGTGCCCTGATGTTTGCTGTGAGCCAGGCTGCTGGAGGGAATAACGTGTGTAAATCTCTAGTGATGCCATGCTTCTCCTTTTATGCTCAAAGCTGATGTCAGAACCACCAGAAATTGCTTACTGACACCAGGGGGGCAGGTCACTGATGCTTTATCAGAGCTGCTTTATCAGGCTCTCAGCAGATCCAGTCAGCCTAGCTCCATCCCTTGCGCTCTACACCTTTGAAGAGATTTCTTTACCATCAATCATAAAATTTAACCTTCCTTTTAAATTTCTCCTTGAAATCAGGAGAAAAGCACACACAAAAAATCTGGAACACACTTTTATCTTGCAATAGCACATTACTATACCCACAGAAAGGATAAATTATTATATACCATATAAATAAACTGGAGAAAATGGAAGGAGAACATGCCTATTATTTCAGTTAATATTCGCTATTTGTAATCACAGTAGGAACAAACTTTTTATTTTTTCGTACTGCTCCTTACCTGTCTCTTGAACTTACTGATTTATTTTCCAACCGACTGCAAGTGATGGGTCGTCTTCATTGCTGCCCTGCTTGTCCTGTGGTGGTCTGGGTGGTGGCTTGGCATGAAGATCTTTGTGTGATAACGCAGAAGCTGCTTAATTTTAGCCAGGCTGTTGTACTATTGTAATCATTAATACCACAGAGTAATCATGGTACGTTAGAGAGCATCAAACTGCACAGATTTGTAATTCCAACTAATGATATCCTTACATTATGGTTTCTCTGAGCTGAAAAGTATCAGTGTGTCAGTAATTCCAGCATAAAATAAAAGCTTGCATTTTAAAGTATTCAGAGGGCCTTGTGAGATGTCTGCATGTCCTGGCACATAATGAAATTGGGCAGTGTTCTCTGGCAACTTTGATTATTCCTTTAAAAATACATATTTTTATCTGAAGCCTTGTTTCAGAGCCAAACTCGGGAGGGCAGTGTGTGTGTGTTTTTTTAGTTTAAGATTGTTCCCCCCCCCCGATTAATTCTTCTCATATGGAACTTTCAATGTTGAATTTAAAATTCAGTGGTAGTTGAGTTTTAGTTACACTAATTTTTTATATTGGATCAAATCTGGATTTCCTCTAAATAAAAAATATTCATGGTGTAAACAGCTTAGAAATTTGGAAATAAAATACTGAAATATTTGAGCTAATTAGAAATATTTCTAGTATGGAACTGGAAAAATTGCACTTTAGCTGGAGCAGTTTAAAGTATGATACTGGTTTTCATTGGCTAAACATTGCTTTTATCATATGTGACATGCAAAAGTAGTGGCTGTAGATGAGAAATAGTTCACTTGAAATAAATCTAATCTTTGCTATTTTAAAGAAATAACTAATAAATAGAAATAAATAATAATATAGAAATAAATAACTGATCAGCAATACGCTGGTCCACTGTACAGCTTTTATTAAACAGTAGAAGAGAAAACTCATATACTGCCAGGAAGCCACTATGTTCATTCTGTCTGGAACTTATTTAGCAAGTAAGAATGTTAATTTAGTGTATACTGGCTAAGATAACTAGTTGTCTGGGGGGTCAAGGTACTGACTTCAGAGGCATTTCTGAACAAAGATGTTGCAGTTGGTGGGTGGATGGCACTGCTCTCAGCTGTTGTATGAGCTTGCATAAATAGTATCATCTCCACTTTAATCTTTCGGGTGTTCAGAGGTAGTGTGCATATTTCTGTTTAACCCCTGGACACTTGCTGGCATGCGTGACCCTTTAACAATTCCTATCCCTCTGTCCATCCCTGGCACCTTGGCTCCAAACAGTCTGAGAGGAGAGCCAGCGATTTTGAAGCTTTTTGTTAAGAACATCCCTTTAACAAAAAGTGTTTTAATTTCATCGGTGTACTGTTTGTTTTGTGCCTGTTACAGCGGTGTATGGCACACTTCCGAAGTACTTCTTGCATCTCCTCTGTACAGTATTTACTTCCCTTTGTATGTAATGATCAGTTTAAAAAAAAAAAAAAAAAAATTAAAACTGGTGATGATGGTTACTGGACTTTGGCATCAGGAAAAAAAGCTTTTTTTATTTCAAAAAACAGCAACAAAGGCTGGAGCAGTGTGTTTCATAAAAGAAAGTTGGCTTTTAAGTTGTGTTTTAGGATAAGCATTTAATTTACATTACCTTAAATTTTGAGAATGAAAAAGATACTTAAACATTAAGTCTTCATAGATCTGTTTCTCTAGAATTAATGTGCCTTTGTCTCGCCAATTTTTATGCCACTTCAGAGACAGCATTCTAAAAGAGTAGTTCTTTCTGAGGCTTGTGGATGTTGTGCTTTGGACGGAAGTATCCACTAGCTTTCAAAGCTTTCAAGCTACAGAGCCTTTCTGTGTATTTTTCTTTTTTTTTTTTTTTTTTTTTTTTTTTTATATGTTTTACGCATATGGAAGATGTCACCTGTGAAGCATGGGCCCACCAAGGACTAGGGACCATTGGTCCAGAGAAGAGTGCCATCTACTTCGTCATCAAGTTTGCTTCCAGGAGCCCATGGGAGTGAGATTTCCACCCTGCTGCTCAACTAGGGCTTTTTTTTTTTTTTTTTTTTTTTTTTTTTTTTTTTTTTTTTTTAATGGGGTAAGAGGGAAAGGTGTAGTAAGCGATGTGTTGCAGGTGGTATAGCTTTTATCACTTCTGGTGGTATAAATTTAATCATGATCAAATACCAACACGGTAAGTGTAGCAAATGCAAAGAAGGGCCAAAACAAACTTCAGAGGGACCTGAACAACAGAAATAAGTGGAAACTGAATCTTCCCTGAAGCCCATACCTGTAAAGCCCAGTGCACAGGGAGAGAAAGTAAACAGCAAGGCTGGGAGATGGATTGCAATAAGTTTGTTTCCGTTTTGTAGCGATGATCATACAGGTGCTGGCTTTTATATTGCTCAAAAACTTGAATTTCTTTTGTAAGGATGGAGCCTGGATGATTCCAGAGATGGGTTCACCCTGGGATCTATACTCCTGAAAGTCTGAGTTGTTCTAGTTTGTGTTAGAAGAAATATGCTCATAAAATAATTTAAGGATGATGTAGGTGGTAATACGTTATTGGATATCTTTTAGTTATATTATTCCCCCTTATTTTTTTCGTAGCAAACTTTGGCCTGTTCCATTTTAACGGCGTTGTTGAGCGAGTTCTCAAGTTCAAGTAAAACCAGCAACATTGGACTAAGCATGGAGTTCCATGGTAACTGTAAACGTATATTTCAGGTAAACTAGTTCTGTATCAATATATGCTACATGTTTTTCTAAAATTTAAACACTGAGAAACAGAAGTGCTTTATTGTGCCAGATGCATTCAGTTACAGCGTGTGCTGAATAGCATTTAATAGGAGAAATATTATATTATAAATGCAGATGCTGGGTATTTCAGGAAAGTTGATAATGTATTTTTAAAAAACTTGTATCAAAAACGTGCAATATCTTTTTGCCCATTTTATGAATGTGGAGCTACAGATCTTGATGCGGTTGGACTCTTTAATTCCTTGGCTACCAATTGCAAACAAAACGAATACTCTGTGGAACAATGATAGTCTTAAATATAGCTTTGGTTTAAAGCCAAGGAGAGCTATGTATTTAAAAATATTATTGCAGATGGTGTAGTCTGGTTGTCTCAGATGTATTGTTTGGCCAGGGCAGAAATGTTTTTGTGAAGGCATTGCTTTAAACTGACTGTTGTGGAACAACTTACCAACTTTTTTTCATGCCAAAGACCAACCCTCTCCTCCACCAGTTGTTAAAAATGTATTGTTAAGTTTTTCTTTCAATGACTAGCATTTATGAGAAGATTTTTTTTTTCTTATCCTTTATAAACACGATCTATTAATTTTGACAAAAGGGTGGGGCAGTTCAGACTGACAACTTCAGAATATTTTCTGTATTTTAATGAAAAATTGAGTGAAAACAGAAAATTATTTTCTCCTTAGAGAATGATTTCTTTTTAATCAGCATATTAATTAATGACTGAGAAACTCTATTAATATATTGTATTCGTCCTGACTATAGGAGGACGATCTGCGGCAGATCTTCATGCTCACAGTAGAGGTACTTCAGGAATTCAGCAGACGGGAAAACCTCAATGCTCAGATGTCTTCAGTGTTTCAGCGTTATCTTGCACTAGCCAATCAGGTCTTAAGCTGGAACTTCCTTCCTCCAAATTATATCCTTTTAATGTCAGGCCCTTTCTTTCAGCTGACTTGGGTTGCTCTACCAGGAGATAAGTAAAGTCTTTGTAAGGAGAGAAAAATGTAGAACTTACAAGTCTTATATTTAGTCCTTGATTTAGGTTTGCTTTTGTTAGTGCTTTTGGTCACCCCTGTGCTTGCTAACAGATGCTTAAATACAGAAGTTGTTGTTGCTCTTCATTAAATTTTTAAAGTATTTTATATAAAAGGCAAAACTAGTTCAGCAGAGCAGCCCCCAGTTATGGGCTCATTGTCTGGTTGGTTGGTACAAGGGAGAGGAACAGTGCAATTTGCTGCTTTAGTGCAGAACCAAATGGTGACGAGATCTAAGCTCTGTTGAATTTTTACACAGAGATCTTATCTGTGCTACTCCTCTCCCTTGGAGAAGAGGAGGGGGCAGGTAAATGCCCCATGGTCTAGGAACGTACCTTCTCAACCGACTCCCCATAAAGGAGCATGGTCATATACTAGAGCATGGAATAGGCTCTCTTTGGTCTGAAGAAAAAAATACTTGTGAGCTGAAAGGAGAAATGGCATCTTTTTTTTTTTGGCAATATACAGGTGCCATTGCTTCCATTTTGACATTTTTGTGATGTGTGCTGATTATGAAAGTCTGGACAAAGGTAAGATGGAAAGTAGAGGAGGAAATGGGAATCACAAAAGGAAAAGAGTCTTAGGGAGAGAATGAAAGAGGTACAAAAATGCTTACCCCAAAAATGGGCTAGGAGAATATTGTAGAAATAATCACATTCTCTATTTAATACAGGATTAAGGCAACACATGCAGTAAAACATTACAATGCCTCTTTTAATAGCTAGATTGTCTTTAAGATTCTCAGCAAACTTTCCAAGAGCCACATTTTAAGCTGCTTTATAAACTTTTTTTTCTTAAAACCTTTTGAAATTGCTTCAAAGTTTTACATACTGCAGGAATCTGGATGTTGCCTTCAAATCCAGTGAAAAGGATTTTATGTGTTTTCCTGGTTTGATGGTCAGGAGGAGATATCTGTGTGTTTCTGTTGTCTTTGATTCTATTTATTACGCAGTGGGCAGCAAAAATGAGGTTTATTTGAAACTGTATACTCCTTGGTTCATATTTGTAAAGCAGAATACCACTTACATTGTCTTTATGGAAGGTGCCATGGATTAAAAATAAATGTTCCACTTCTGTTAGTCACTGAAGTGATTTGGCAGGGGTCCAGAGAGGATTTTAGTGCATGCACCTGCAAGACTGAGACTTGAGCTAAATTACTGCATCTTATAGAATATTAGGAAAAGGATTTGAGATTTGTAAGAATCCAGATAATACGTGAATACCTCTTTTTCCTGAACTGTAATCTTAAATAGAAAGGAAATGCTCTTGGTGGGTAGAGGGGGTTCCCTCTACATTTTATTCTTGGTTTGTGTGAACCTCTGATACAGTGCTGAACACTGCTGCTGGTACCATTTGAAAGTGAAGACTCTAGTTCTTCATGAGCACTTTCTCCTTGGCGAAGGTTTGTGGGGATGGAGCTAGATATATACTAGCAGGATGTGAAGCCTTGGGCATTCCAGCTTTCATTTATGACTTACTATCATATGAAGTGATTTAGTCTATAGGTGCTAGTAAATAAGTGTCAATTGAAATAGCTAAGCCAGCCGTACTGCTGTTTAAGGTTAACAATGTTTTCTGCTACTTGGCCTACTCGAGATACTACAGCTGTTAAACAAATTCTGGCCCCTTCTGGAGATCAGGTGGACCTTTAGTCTGAACCACCACAAGTGCTCATACATGGCTCTATTTCAAATCTTTTCGTAACTTCTGCTCCATTTGATACCACCTTTTTGTTTTCTAACATTGGACATTTCATTCTGCTGTAAGAATTACAGCACCAGCTTGTGTCTCCCTCTGTGTAGCAACCTGTTTTCACAGAAGTTGGAATGGCTTTAATCATCCATGAGAAATGGGGGTTTCAGCTGATGAAGGTTCAGTATGTGCTGGGGTTTACAGCACCGTGTTGATTATATTGTGACATAAATCTCTCTTTCTTAAGAGGACTGGTGTAAAAGTAGCTGTTGATTGGTAGCTCATGGGCAGTGAAACTTAACTGGGCTACAGTTTCTAAATAGGTAGCACATTACATAAGAACATAAGAATTGCTGTGTTGATTGATCAGTTGGTATCCTCTCTCCAGATTTTGACAGTACATATGCCAAAGCAATGGGCATAAATTTAATACTCGATACATGGAGTAAAACGATCCATCATATCTACAGATATAACTTTTTTTCCTTGGGTTGGTATTTCCCCTGGCAAGATAGTATTGATTGTCAGTATTCCCTCCAGCATAGCAGCAATCTGCAGTATTTATATATAATCTTTAGCAAGATTCTTCTATCTCTAAAAAAGGAAGTAGCATAAATTTGCATTAACTCTACAGTGACCATTGCCAAGAGGCACGTTATCTAAATTACCAAGATGTTAGGATTGCATCGAAACATAGCACTTCTCATCCTTGTGCTGTTACAGGATAACTTAGTATGTGTTGCATCGTTAAATGGACAGTGTTGGCACCAATTATAATAGAGAAGTCATATTAAGTCTGTATTGTGTATTGGTAACAAGAAGAGCTGTCATGAAAGATGCATTCTGGAATAGCCATCTCATTGGAGCAACAAAAGAATAGAGGCTGGGACCTACCTACTACAAAGTTGGAACTCAATAATTTTTGAGTGTCTTAGCCTGTAGTGACTGCAATAAAAAGAGCAGGGCACAGTGACTTCTTTCAGTCATGTGCAGTTCCTTCCATTTAATTTTCTAACACACAGACAATCCTCTATTGTTATTTTTATCTGCTACCTCAAAGTATTGGTGTTTGCAGATGCTTCAGAGGTTTTTGGCAGTACCGTTGGAAATGACAATAACATAGGATTCCTATTTTGCGCTAAGAGCATATGGCAGTCTGTTGTGGCATGTTGGCCTCTGTAGAGTTTCTTTTTTCAGTGCTGTTACAGCACTGTTAAAAAATTGTTTGCTCCGATGGAACTAGTTTTAACTGCATCTTCTCTTAAATGGATGTTTTGGCTGATTAAGGAAGTGCAGGTGATCAGTTCTAAGAGGTAGAGCCCTCACCTTTACAAGAGTGCCTTCAAGGATCTCACTCCTAGTACACTGTGAGTGTCCAAAGTCTCCAGTTATGGAGCTGGATGTTGCTGCACTTTAATGCACCTTGATGTGGGCATGATGTGTCCTGTGGAGTCAGGATGCATTTATAATTTATATTCTTTAACCTTCAGAGATGTTTCTCACTTCTTGACTTTGGGATTTATCTGTTCTCGGCAGCCACATTCTAATAGACTTTGGATGAATGTCCTCAAATGCAATAATTCTTAAACAAATGTAAGACTTTTGTCCAACTGTCTCCCATGTACAAAACGGTGTCTGTTATCTGCCATTAGGAGCTGTTGTAGAACTACTTATCCATTATTCATTAACATATGGATTATAGTACATGAATAAAGAGGAACTTGAGCTTCGGTTCGTGTTTTGGATTTGGTGCCTCTACTTGCTTGGAGGCAAGCTGGCAAATTGTCAAGTGAATGTGGAACAGGGGATTGGATTTAAAATACAGGTTACGTAAACCTCATGGGATGCTCCCACTAATGTGCATCGTTGCTGGTCCATTGAAATTAATGGGGCAACAACAATTGTATGAACTGACCAAAGCTTTTGTCTGATCTGAATGCTCTTTCTTTTCGAAGTGTGTGTGTTCCTCAGCCACACAGTTAAGGAACAAAACTCTTCATATCTCTGTTTTGAAAATGTCTTTTAAACCTCAAGCCAGAACGAGACACCGTTCTGGGAGATCCTGTGAACCATGTAGTTCTGCAGACTTTCAAGATTTGAACTCGGTCCAGCCCAGCTTGGTAGCATCTGTTATGCATAATGGAAGCGCATGAAAAACACACAGAATGCTCCAGAAAACTTGAGGTTTGTTTTGAGGAATGATTCAAGTTTTGAGGAATGATTCACTGACAAGTGCTGCTGAAGAAGTGTCCTGCCCTAGCACCTCCCCTGAACGTGATACTGAGCAGGGAACCACCTGGCTGAAAACTTTTTTAGCAGGTTGAGGTGCCCAGTTTGGTTTGTTGCAGAGCTGCAGAAATGATTGAACCTGTACCGAGGAGCAGCAGCACAGATTTCCTTCAGCAGCAGGGCTGCTCCCATTAGGTCTTATGTGTTTTGGCAGCCTGGGATTATCCTGAATTTACTGCAGCAGCCTGTCCTTATCTGGATGATGAAGGGTTGGGGTGCTACCTGGCTATTGTTTGGGATAGTAAAAAAAAATTCAGCGTAACTAAAATAGCTGCATTTAAGAAACTACAAAAGGGAGATGCATTTTGCTTTTATCAGACTTTACTGCTCTTAGGTGAAAACTGACCTGACTTTGAAATCCTTGATGTTTTGAAATTATTTGTAGGGTTCTATGTATTTTCTTGACAATCCTTTCTAGTGACTTTTTAATACAAAGTTGTACAAAACCAAGAAGATTGACAGACCCCATGAATTTGGTCATAATCGCACTAAACATGCTTTTATTTATATTGAGCTTTTTAACAATTAGTGTTTCATCATTTAGGTTTTCCTGAATGAAATTTGAAATCAGTTTGCAATGACCCTTTTCATGAAGGGGAACTGATAAAATATGTAGGGATTTTTTCCCTCTTCTGCTTTCTTGCCCCAGTGGTTTTAAGTTTCCAGTGCTTTGTCAGCAGCTTCCTAGACCTCAGCCAGTGTCTAGGGGGAAGGTGTGACTCTTGAGCTGCATCTTGCTCGGCAGTCCCTTCTGCATAGGTGCTTTAAGTGTAATTTAGGCTTAAAGTGATTAGCTTGCATACTACCAGCTGTATAATCATTGCAGCAAGATGTAGCAAGGGCCACTTGGGTGGCCAAGAGGAGACTTGGTACTGGCATGGCTGTACCGCTACCGGCTCCGGAACTGGCCAGTTTTAAAATTAGCTTGGGTCTTCTTACACTTCCTACGCCTGTTCTGGCATTCCCAGCCAGTGTCTCCAACACAAAGTAGTTGTTTCATTCTCATGACAGTTAAGAATCCTTGTGTTTAATAATTCAATATTTCAGCTGACGTTCCTCCTCTTGAATGCTGGATGTGTTTGCTGAGATTGTAAGTTACATAAAGGTTTGTGAAGCATTTCTCCATAGGGGGCAGCAAGCTTCTGCATCACTTTTGCACAGTTGCTGCTAGGCTCGTCCCATGTGCTTGCCTCAGTAGCTAGCAAGCCAGAGGAGGTCTTAAACATCCAAATACAATCAGTGTGTTTGCGTTATAACACTGGATGGCAGATTTCCAAGCAGTTACCTTTCTAATTGCAGTTTTTTTATTTGTAAAATACAAGTCTAAGACTGATACAAAGCTCTCCAGAAATGTTCCAAACAACAAATTTAAAATGATTAAAATAACTTTTAAGAAGGATATTTAGGCCTTAGCGTTCCAGGAGTGTTCCCTCCGTTACTGAGGAGTTCTTTTTTCTGTGGATAAATTTGTGAATGGGGATCTTGCAAAAGAAATCTCAGCTTTGAATTTTGAGTTCCTGATTTACTGCTTTGTGGAAGGGTAGGCCTTAGGAAAAGACAGTGGGATCCATTCTCAGATACTGGAATTTGTGGGAAGTCCTGAATTGAAATGCTGTAATCCCTTGTAGCTGCCTTAGGATATGAAGTATTTTGATACTCATCTTCACCCATCAGTCCCTTCCTGGGATGGAGGCAACAAGTGGGAGGAAAACTACACATTTGTTTACCTTTTTTCCTTTTGTTTTAATATATTCTTTCTATAAGACTGCAATTATTTTTTTAAAATTACTGTTCTAAAATTATAAACTTATAATTTAATAAAGATTACTCTTATTTCTTCAGCTCATGAAACAAAACCAAGCATAGAGCTGCATATGCAAATCTAAGGAAAGATAAAAGGAAATCTGTCTTAAACATTATGGTCATCTTCTTTTTCTCGCTAGGCACTAATTAGCGAGCATAGGAGTCTTATCATGCATCAAGGCATCTGGTTATATATTCTTGTGCTTTTCAGTAGAGCTTGGTACATGTTATTGAATAATCTGTTCTGATTCAAGCAGAAGTTTCTAGTCTGTGTAGGAATCAGTGTCCTGAGTGGTGTGAAGCGGGTAAAACATTGCCATACTTCTAGTAGCTGTTTCTTAGCTTGGATTCCCGTGTCATTCCAAGGGAACTGTAATGAGAGTTACTCCTTCTTCAAGTAGAATTGAATGTTAAAAACTTTTGTATTTACTACCAAAAGTGGTTTATGATTGTTTTTCATTTAAAAAATAACAACAAAAAAACCCCACCCAAAGCCCCCAAGACATAGTAGACTGATCTGTTTATCATAAATCTATGTTATAACTTGAGTTCTTAGAAAAAAAGTATTGTGCTAGTTCTGTGCTTTTTGTTTCTTCACAAGTATTGAGGATTAATTTTCAACAGTTAAGATTGTGTTTGTCCTGTGTACGTCCATGTATGAGGTAATACGGTGCCATTGTTTTCAGGTTTGGTGTAATTAGGCTGCTGCTAACAAGGCTGAGTCATAACGCAGAATAAGTTGAGGTATTTCACGGCAGAAGCATCTCCACAGCCAGCTTATGCTAATGTTTGCGTAGATCCAGTATGTGATGGAAAATGCATGTAAGATCTCCATGATAGGTGCAGGCATAACTTGTGTTGTTCAGTGAACAGATATTTTATCCACAAATCTGCTATTGTCAGATGTGTCATCAGTCCATTAGTGTGAGAAACAGTACTAAAAATAACGGGATAGGGCTGCTAAATACTGGGGCTTGTTAAAATAGTGACAGCAAACTAGCCCTTCTTTCATTCCGTGTGAAATGTGTTGTGTGGCTGGTCCCCTCTGTAGACTCAACCTAGCGAAGAGCAAATTGATTTTCAGAGATAGGTAATGTATCTGTGATCATCTTCTCATACTGATGGCTTTCCAAACCAATTGTTTGTTGGAGAGTTACGGCAAAGGACACTCTTGTCAATAAACAACTTATGAATATTATTTTTTCTAAAATATTCCTAATGAAAAGGATAAAAAAAGCATAGCTTAATTTGCCAGATGTTAGGAAATCTTGGTTTTGGCAGAACTCAGAAGACAAGTGTAAATAAACTAAAATTATGTGATGTGCCTTGTGCCACAATCCTTCATATGAAGCTATATATTTGCTATATATATTGTTCTCTTAAACAAAACCCATCAAAAGTTAAGGGGTCTGCTTTCTTGAAGGATACTGTTGTGAAATTTATTTTCTTCTGGACATAAATACTTTTTTTTTTTTTTTTTGATACACCTTTTCTTAATAATACCTGATGATTTACAGTACCAAAGTTAATGCGGTTCATTACGAGTGAGTAAATGACATGCAGCTGAGCATGCTGTTACTAGGTTGGGTTAGAAAGGGATCAGAGAGGATAATGAAGGGTTTAAAAAAGATAAATGAAAATGCAAGTTGCTGAGTTAAATCAGTTTTACTACTGCTTGGATTGGGGGGTGTCACAGAAGGAAGCACTTTCAAAAATCTTTTATAAACACTCTTCTGTGTGATTAGACCGACACAGAATGTAACCTGCTTGTTTAAATGTTTTGGCTCGTATCTCTGTTTTTTCTGTAGCAGAGCATTTGCAGAGTTTTGTATATTAAGTTATGCCAAAGCACGTGTTAAGAACTGAACTGAGTACAGCAGAACCATGGCTTCACGGTGTGCACATTTTTCATGCACGTCTCTTAACAAACATGTGTTTAATATGACGGTGCCTGCGGTGCCTTATGCTTTTGTTCTTCACAGTGTGATTAAAAAATGTAGATTAATGTAGGGCTAACATAACTGCATTCTATGATGCATATTTGGCTATTTAGAAAAATAGGATATAGATTTCAGTGAGCTATCTTTAGCTGTCATAAGGCCTTTTTAAAAGCTGCCAGGAAAATTTTTTAGAAAATGATTTCCTATTTTGCATAAATTTTAACACCTGTTAATTGCGGTTGCTTTTTTCCCTTCTCGCTGTGTCACATTAGACACCCTGGTTATCAAAGTGATCGTATCACTATGGTATGTCTCATAATTATGATCAAACTGTTATCTAACATTCCTGGAGCATTCTTTTTTTCAATACTTAATACCTTTTATTCCTTGGCCTCATGCATGAATTATGCTGTGTATGTGAAGAGGCTTAAAGTTTGTTTCCATTACATTCTTTCTGAATGGATCCTGTTGTATCTAGGATTTTTTTAAAGCCAAGTAGGAATGTTATTGTTGACCTTGACACCAGATAACTGGGCAGACATTATATAGCTATGTTTGAATCCTCACAAAATGTGATGCTAAAGCCAACAGAATCCTGGCGTGAGACCCTCCTGGACAGCAGAGTTATGGAGCTTTTCTTTACAGTAAGTTTCTTTCTTCAACTTTCATAGTCCAGACCACAGGGAAGCAGCTCGTTCCTGCTCTAAAACTGTTTTGTTGGACTCTTCCTTTTGCATCAGGTAGGACTAATTCTGTTAACTTCAGCTTGCTTATCAAAACAAACAGAAGGATTGTATTTTTCCTACATTACCAAGCATGTATTTTGCCTGTAAATTGCTTTAAATTGATGACCATTAAGAAAAGGAAAAAAGTGCATAGTTATCTGAACTTTTGTATGTTTGATACTTTCGGACACGTATTCATCAAACGAAATCCAGCGTGGTGAGTGGTAGCAGAGAAAGTCTTTCGGATAAGGTGTAACGGCTCTCAAAGATCAAACGAACAGTGTGTGTTTCCTGGTCTTAAAGCATTTGCTCGATGGAACAGCTGAAAATAAGTAATGTAATTGCAGATTTCCAGCCAGTTTCACCATATAGAATTCTGTCTGTCTTCAGCACAAAGGAAATCCAAACAAATTAAAAAAGATTAAGTTAGGAAGGACGGGGAAGAGGTAGAGTTGAGGTAGGGGAATGTAATACTCAATTTCTATAGCTTGAAAAAAAACCCATGATATTAACACTGGATAAAATTAGTATTGTTTTCTTTCTACAACTGTTGGGGGGAGAAGTTTGTAGCCTTTGCTCAGCTAGGAGTTAGTGCAGCAGCAACATATATGCAGCAACAGCTTATAAATTAGTCTACTGTGCTATTTTATCTTACGTTACCTCTCTGGGGGCATGAGAATTCAGCATTCTCAGGCTCTTTTCATTTTTACAAAGTGGAGAAATAATGTGCTCAAAACTTGGACAAAGTTGTTATTAGACCAAGTAAATGTAACTCTCCAGTGCTGCCTGGAGTTGTCTGATACGTGCTTGGATACATGTCCTTACTTTGTAGGATTTTTTGATAAATTAGAATTTGGTTTAATTTTTATTTTTTTTTACTGCAAGTTTTTCTGTTCCAGCAGTTTTGAAAAGGTGAAAAAAAAATCACTGGCAGAACTCTTAGCAGCTACGCACAATCTGAACAGCTGTCTGGGCTATCCAGACAGTTGCTACTGTCAGCTGTGAACCTCCACATGCAAATAACTTTTTGGCTTACATATTAACCCTTCCTCCTTTAATAGTATGAAGTTGTCAGAGTTAGATCCCTGTTTCTTTGGTTGGTTTACAATTACTTATTCATGATAAGAATGTTTTTAATAACATGCAGAATTGTTTTGATACATTTCTGTTTTACTTAATAGCAAGCAAACCCCTCCTGTATTTGATTATTTTTGAATGAATGCTGGCCAGGGCAGCCTGCTCTCAGTTTTGGTTTTAGATTCCTGATTTGCAATGGTTGAGGCTTGTAGTATTAGTTTGCTATTTGAAGTAACATAAGCGAATGGCTATAGTTTATATTCATTTATCTGATCTAAGAAGTTCTAATAAGCTTGCAAAAGTTGGCAGGACTGCCATGTTAAAGAGAGCCTTCAGTTCTAATCTCAGCCTGGTGTGGGACGTAGATTGGGAGGGGTGTTGCTGTTGCGGGGTTTGTTTCTCCTGCTAGTTTGATCTTTCAGAGATTAACTGTGCAGCTTATCCAACTAGTTATGAGTTGGGTGATGTTACAACTATCATGCCACAGAGAAATGGTTAGTCTTTTAACACTTTTATGTATAATATTGTTGAAATAATTTTAACCAAATTTGCTTCTGGACGAAAAAGCTACACTGTATTTATTTATTTGCTAAATCTTATGCGGAAAAAATAGGCAGCACGTGCATAAGAAAATTCTTAAAATCCGTACTTGATAATTAAAGTGTGTTTGCTAGGGCATGATTACTGACAGAAGATTTGAATCTAGAATGTCTCACCAGCAGAAGTGATGACATAACAGTTCACAGAAATGTGGGCAGATTACTGCTGGCCTTGTATAATGCTACGGGTGTTGCCAAGGAAGTGATGCATTCATTTTTGTATATGTCTTCAGTGTTTACCTCTGCTGAAGAAGCATCTACATAATCTTGATTGAACTTGTTGACTAACTTTAGCAAGACTCCATAGCCTAGGCATAGTTAGCATAATAGAGATGACTGTCATTATTGCTGTTTTTAGAAGGAGCAGTATGTCTGACGGGCTGGCATCTGTTTCTCTCTTTAAGACATAACATTCAGTAGACAGTTCAATTTTCAACATGTAGGTGAGACTTAACTAAACGTTAGTTTCAGTGAGTTAATTCAAGGCTTGCGATTTTGTGAGCTGAGTCATGATCTTGACATTTACTATGGTTTAGAGAGTTGTAGAAACCCTCGCATTTCAGACTGAATGGAAGTTATAGTAAGCTTTTTTTGGTGTGTGCTCTTTTGGGTTGAGAGCCATGTGACTGTTGTAAGAACACCCTATTTTCCGTGTATTATTAACCATCTCACTTCCTGAAAGGTACATCGGAAAATCCGAGAAGATACAGATATGGCCCAAGATTCATTACAGTGTCTGGCACAGCTGGCGTCTTTGCACGGGCCGGTCTTTCCTGATGAAGGTTCACAAGTTGATTACCTGGCACACTTCATTGAGGGATTACTGAACACTATCAATGGGTACGTATGTCTGCTCTCTAAATTTAGATGGCATCTTTTAATCTTTAGTTTGGAGCGTAACGTATCTGCGTGGAGAACTGGTATGGCTTGCTTATTTCTGGGTACAATTTGTGCTTACTGCTGGATTACTGCAATTAAGGAAAGGCAGTTTAAAGTAGATGGTGCTTAAGTAATGTGAGATAGATTTATTGATAGAAAATGTATCAACAAATCAATTAACTTTTAGCATTTTTCTCAACGGCAAAAAACTGACTGCTATTTCCATCTGTAGAATTGAAATAGAAGACTCTGAAGCAGTGGGAATTTCCAGTATAATCAGCAACCTGATAACTGTATTTCCTCGCAATATTTTAACTGCCATTCCAAACGAACTTTTCTCTTCATTTGTTAACTGCCTCGCACACCTCACTTGTTCTTTTGGAAGAAGTGCTGCCTTGGAAGAAGTGGTAAGTATCCACTCTGAAATAGTACGTAGTCTTTTTTATTTTTTCTGTTTTTTCTCTATTTCTGATAACCATAAGCAACATGAGAATTTGACTGTTTTCTTAATAACTGTTGTGAATTCAGTGGTATTTTTCTAGATATTTCTGAAATCACATCTGAGAGGGTTTTCTTTTTGTTTTAAACAGCATAATGAACATAGACACACACTATGTGCATCTTTCAGACTTTGTTTTGATTTAAAGCAGTTGTCTCATATTTTCCTTGTAAAAAAGAAGGATTCATTTAAAAATATTATAAGTCTTTAAAATATTGCTGACTTGCTCTTGTAGGACTTCTCTGAAAACTGTTGTAGATAATGAACGAGCAACACTCCTGAAAGCTTAAATGACTATGTGAACATATGGACAGACTGAAACTTAACTGCTGTCAAGAGTTCTGAGTCAGGAACTTCTGTTTTAAGTGAATGTAGCTGTTAAGACCTGTTGTTAACCCCATACTTCTGAGCTGTTCAAATCAGCCCTTCATGGCTGACACAGTTCAAATGGTGATTCTGTGTACAAATCTAGCACAGGAATTCAGAGGATTTTCTTTTTTTTCCTGTTTGTTTACTTCTTTAAAACGTTTTGGTTGTAACATTAAAAAGCAGTTGGAACAGTCTAAGTCTTCTGCTTCTAAAAAACTAGTAAGACCACCTAGTATAAGGAAAAAAGCCTGTAAGAATAAAGACAAAAGATGTTGCGCTTTAGTTATTTATGTGCAGTAGCTGTTGATTTTAAATGGAACTATCAAGAAATTAGCCAATATTTACCCATTATCATTAAAAGTATGAATTTTTACCAGTTTTGCTATATTGACTGGGCTTAATTACCCAAGTTTGAATAATTATAGAAGTATTCGGTTATAAAGTTGATGGATGTGTTTCTTCACCAGAGGTCATGGGTGTCTTAATTACCATTCATTGCAAAGCATTAGATCATGTCTTTGCTGCAAGGTTAAGATGTATTATGTTTGGCCCAGCACTCACCTAAACTTTCAGGTGTGCTCATGTCTTAATCAAAAAATTGGTGATTAAATTTAGAATCTAAAATACAGCTACTTTCCAAACCTTATTGCTCAAAACTTGTGCTGCTTTTGAGATTTTCTAATAGAACATTGACCATATGTTCTGGTGCTCACCAGCACATTTAGGAATGGTCCTGAAGCCTTTATAGAAAAGATTCAGCAAAACCATAGGCACTTATTTAAATTAAAGGAACTAAAGGGATGTTGTTTCCTCAATTAGCCTCCTGTTACTTGAGAGCTAGAATATACAACCATGTTTAAGGAAAACAGTGCTCAAAGTAATGCCATTCAAAACACTTTGTCTCGCAGCAAAAGTTTACGGTAGCTTGTACCACAGTCTGGTACAAAGTTTGTTTTGGAAATGACTGGCCAGTGACACCCAGTAAACTGTGGCTGCCTACACTTAGATAATCCCATAGCTTCAGCTGAAGAAAGTCATTTTAGTATTAAACTTAAATGTTCTCAGACTCAGCAACAGCAGAAAGAGAGAATGCAAGAATTTTTTTGGTTTTTTTTCAGAGAGTGTTTTCTCACTCTCCTTGAATCTTTAAATCATTCTGTGGAAGGAGAAACATTACACTTCAATCCCTTCCAATCTGTCGTAGCTCTTACAGATACCTCAACTTCATGCTGTTTCTGTGATTTCCAGGATGATCCAGAATTCTGTGCTTACAGGCCTTAAAAAAAAAAATAATTCTTATACCTTAACAGCGTGTCAGCAGTAAGGGACGCTACCGAGATTTTTAAGTTATTGCTGACTTAGTCCAGACGGTGTAATAATACTGTGTGCTGTGCCTGTAGAAATGCTGCTCTGCATCCCTGAAAACAATCTTTTGGCTTAGGATTCTCATAGTCGTGGTTAATGTGTTTACTGAGCTTCTTGTTCAGGCTGCTTGCAGTGACACCTTCTGTGAGCTCATGTGCTGTATGTAATTAAGAGTTTTTAAAAGATAAAATACTGTGTGCGTTTGGCTCAGCAGAGGCCCCAGATAATATCCCTGGAACTCTTCAGAAATCCAAAGTGCAGCAGAATGCAGGCAGGCGGACTCCTTAAGCTTTGCTGGTCAGAAAAGCTGTTTTTCCCCACATTTCTGCCAGCAGAACATTTCATGTGAACGTTGCAGAAGCCCTGTCAGGCACAGGGAACCTACTCAGCTGAAAACCTGCTATGGAAACAGTGAAAATTGGGACGTCCTGAACCACAATTTGCAAACCACTTCAAAGCAACTAACACTGATTTTCAACCAAGGTGGGAGGGGTGGGGGGACACACAATCCCAACATCATGTTCAGATGCTGTTTTACATCAACCTGCATGAGAGATCGGCTGAAGGAAGTTGAAACATTTGCCTGAACAGCTACGTTGGTGGAGGGCAGCAAGCTCCAGCAATGCTGGGGGTTAGTTTATGGTGCGAGTTGGACCAGTAAACTCTTCCTTTAATAGCACTGGATCTGAGAGAAGATGCTTGTCCATAACAATGCTTGCCCTTGCTTAAGTCCTTACGCAGAAGCAGAAATTAAATAGTCCCTCTGAATTACTAAAGAGTATGAACAGGATGTTGGATGAAAAGTCAAATACAAGTTATATCAAAGGCTTCTTTTTCTCAAAATTTATCTTACTGTACTGATCCCATTTCATGATATTTTTTTTTATAAAATACCATGTTATCGGAGAGATCATTCTGAATTTGGTCCTTCCTGCTATGCTTCCAACTCTTTCCAGCTTGTTGCTCCTCGACAAATTTTAGACGTGGTCTTTCTTCAAAGGGTCAGCAGGCTGTGAAGGAAAAAGTACCAATTTTCTTTGTATTTCCCATACTAGAGAAATTAAGCGTCTTTGCTTTCATAGAATCATAGAATAGTTTGGGTTGTAAGGGACCTTTAAAGGTCATCTAGTCCAACCCCCCTGCAATGAGCAGGGACATCTTCAACTCAGTCAGATTGCTCAAAGCCCCACCCACCCTGACCTTGGATGTTTCCAGGGATGGGGCATCTACAGCATCTCTGGGTGGCCTGTTCCAGTGTTTCACCACCCTTGTAAAACGTTTCTTCCTTATATCTAGTCTAAATCTACCCTCTTTTAGTTTAAAATCATTACCCCTTGTCCTATTGCAACACGCACTGTTGAAAAGTTTGTCCCCATCTTTTCCTAGGCCGCCTTTAAGTACTGAAAAGCTGCAATAAGGTCTCCCTGGAGCCCTCTTTACTCTGAACAATTCCGAAAAATCCAAATTCTCTTCATAGGAGAGGTGTTCCAGCCCTCTGATCATCTTTGTGGCCCTCCTTTAGACCCACTTCAGCAGGTCCATGTTCTTCTTCTGTTGGGGACCCCAGAGCTGGACGCAGTACTCCAGGAGGGGTCTGACCAGAGGGGCAGAATCACCTCCTTCCATGGTTCTTTTGAGGCAGTCCAGGGCACAGTTGGCCTTCTGGGCTGGGAGTGCACATTGTTGGATTATGTCCAGCTTTTCATCCACTAGTACCCCCAAGTCCTTCTTGGCAGGGCTGCTCTCAATCCCTTCGTCTCCTACCCTGTAAAATCCTGGAGTTTGCCCCAACCCAAGTGCAGGACCTTGCACATGCCTTGAACTATATGAGGTTCACTCTGGCCCATTTCTCAAGCTTGTCCAGGTTGCTGTGGATGGCTTTGACTTTACTGGTTGCATCCTGCCTCTCCTGAAGATCTGTGTTCTGAACTGGGCTCTGCTGTTACTTCTGTTGGATCCATCAGAACGATTCAGCTTCCCAGTCTACAGCATGTCAATTAGTTTACCTGTATGACATCTTTGATAGCCCAGCTGTAGCTAATCTGAAATAAGGACTGAGAATTTTTAGTGAGGTTCCTTTGTGTGTTCAATCTGGATAAACTCTTTCTACTATTTGCACATATGCTTTATGGAGGCACTTATTAATCCTCACTTCCTTATGAGAATACCTTAAAGTGTTAAAAATATTTTTTTTCCACGGCATTAACTTCTGTATTACCTTCTCAAATAAATGAATTGGATAGATTTGGGTTCTTTTGTTGTACATAAAAAGACATGTCTGTGTATTGGTTTATGCTCTGGATTCTTTCAAATTAATCAAAGTTATATGTAAGTTATGTACATAAATATATTACACACACATCAAAATATTTCAGGATGGAATGATCGCCTATAAATCCCTGAGTCCTTTAGCCAAGTTTTAAAAAGACATGTTGTGGTGTTCATCCTAAATTTGTGGCTTGTGTTAGTGCTGAATACAATTTTGTCTCTCTTATTGTCATCTTCACTTTTGTTTTTCACAATTGTATCACAGTGTGCCATATTTTAACTTCTGTAAATATGACCAGCTTGGACTTATAAAATAATGCTGTGAAGATATTTTGAAATGCTTCCAAGTGATACCAGTTTTTCCTCTTAATCAGTCATCCAGCCAGTGTTTTCTTTTCCTTGTCTGTTCATACAGCCATGTTTGTAACTTCACTGAAAGTCAGGAATTCTTCTGTCTGGAGCATGATTAAGGCCTTAATATCCCTTTATTTCATCAAGGAATCATTTTACTAAGCTCTGCTGTCTCAAAGTAACTGTTGTGAGCTTGAGAAGAACTTGAGAAGACTTCTTAAAGGAAAGAAATGTCCTGCTTTAGCCGCATGTACATCCATACAGTCACGTTTAAGTTATTTGAAGTTGGATATATTTACTAAAGTTCAAATTTTTGCATCAAATCAAAAAGCTGATAGGTACATTAAAAATACTTTTATAAAAGAAATGACCTCTTTGCTATCTGGGTTCTTCAGTTTGCTTGTAACCCAGGAGTTTGTTTTTCAGATATGTTATTTCCTTTTGCAACTACGTCGAAACACATGTGAATAACTAAAACCAAGACGCATTACTTGAAATGCTCTCAGCAATTGGAGGTGCAGGCTTATTCTTTGGAATTCCACTTTTTTTTGTTTGCTCATAGAATGAGAAGTTTGGCATCTTTGGGGTAAAAGCTCAGTAGGTAATTTTGCATTAAAGGCTTAGTTTAAGACTCTTGGTTTTGAACATCAGGTGAAGAGAAATAGCTAAACACCTCGACAGTTTTTTAAAGCCTGTCAAGCATGAAAGCTCTGCTGACCTTTTTGATGAGTTGCCTCAGTTCATTCTGATATTTTCTTGGTTATCCTTAGATGGGATTTGTGCCTGATTTTTTTTTTTTTAATTGTTTCAACATGAGAAGAACATCTGTTAAATAGTAATGAATATAAGTATGTTCCTCTGGTTTAGTTTAGGAATGAGATTTTTGTTTTGTTTCTTTCATCTCTTACAGCTTGACAAAGATGACATGGTCTATATGGAAGCGTATGATAAGTTGCTGGAATCTTGGCTTACTTTGGTACAAGATGACAAACATTTCCATAAAGGTTTCTTTACCCAACATGCTGTTCAGGTCTTCAATTCCTACATTCAGTGCCATCTAGCTGCTCCTGATGGTACAAGGAATTTGGTAAGCCCTCGTTCTAGTAGTTCTTGATGATATATAGTGACGAGCCCATATCTTTTGGTGTGTACTGTACTAGCTCCCTTGAGCTACATAATATAGAATTACTATTTGTGACTTTGGAAATGAAAAATTTACCAAGTCTGTTACTCAGTAGACATTTTTCAGTCTGTTTCTCTCATTCTGAAGAGCAAATAAAGGACTACAGAGTCGGAAATCACTTTAAAAAAAAAAAAAAAACCAAAACAGAAAAAAGTAAACCTGTTACTCAAATCAACACACATCTTACTGTTGTTCGCACAAAAGCAGTGACTAAACTTTTGACCCTCCTTCTCTGGACTCGGGTCCCAGTTAAAATCCCCAATGAAATCGGAAGCCTTTTATACAGTTGTTACCTCTCATACACTATTTTCAAAGTATACTTTTGAAGTATAATTGACATGCATAAATGAAAAAATGTAGAACGACTGTGCTCAGACTAGAAGAAACTTGCAATATTATCTGGTTCTTCTGGATAAAAGGAATTCCCAACTGAATTTTTGAGGTGATTGTCCTAAAGAAAACCTGAAAGTACCTCAGGTATCTCTTGAACCACTGAGAAAGCAGATCAGTCTTTTTCCCAGGGGCCTGGTTCTTGCTAAAAGAGATATTTTTTTTTACAGCAAGTTGGATGTAGATGTTGGATGAATTAATTACTGTATACATTCAATTAAATAACTGTATAAAATCTCCCTTTAATTTGATGCTGTGCAAAGATCTCTGAGATACCTCATTCTGAAAAGCACTATATAAAACTTAATTCTGCTATCTCAATATGTAACAGATGGTAATAACAGTGCCAAAACAGAGAGAAATATTTCACAAGAGAACTCTGAATTCATATCAGGCGGTCTTGACATAACTTGTATACACAGGTTAATTCATGTCATTCTGTGAGATAAGTCATTTATCCCATGGGTAACCTTTTAAAAGCCACAGCTGGCATTTTAGAATGCTTCTTGTTCCATATCAAAGCAGTAACAGGAACTTTCAGTCTCTGCTTTGAGAGCAGAGGCTCACCCTTCAGTAAACAGCTGCAACTTTGAAGTTGCCAAAAGAGAATGATTTGCTGGGTTACATAAAGAAAAGATGGGTTAAAAGCACTTTGGATAAGTGTGTGTGTGGATTCGGTTTTCCAGAGCCTTTATAGAAATAAAGCATAGTGATAGCTTTCTGTCACTTGTACTGTACTTTGTTAGTTGAGTAAATTTTATGATTCTTTAAATAAAGTTTTTTTAAAAGCATTTTTAACATCGATACTTAGTTTCTACATATCATGGTTCATCTCTTCAAGGAGTAAGATCTGATTATTATTGAAGTAGTTTTATAATGCAGCCAAGATAAGCTTTGAGAAGTCAAACAGTGCAGCTTCTGTGTCAGCAAGAAACAGAACGGAGATGACGATGATGATTATTATTAGTCTTCTGTTTTCCTGAAGTTATAGCATTTGCTTTTTAAAGCTTTTTCCCCTCAAAAAATGAGTTATGGAAAATCTTTACTGAATGAGGCGATTTTCATTTAATCATGAAAAATACTACTTATATGTGATTTATGTCGGATCTCAGACAACTGAGAGCAATATCTTTGATTAAGAGTAGGGGAAAGCATGGAAGTTTCAGTATTTAAAATGGTTCTTGGTTTGCCATATATGTGATTTGAAATGCAAATACACTTCAAATAATCTTCTGACCACAGGGTTTGCAGACCAGCTCTGTGAGCCAGAGTCATTCAGTACCTTATATCAAGCTTCCAGCAGTGGATGCTCAACAGACCTGATTTATATACCCTGTGGTGTAAAGAAGCCGTTTTGCTATTGTCCAGCCTGTGCTTATACTATTAATAACAAGTATCAATTTTCATCATTCTTATACTCACCTGTTTTCACAACCAGTGATTCATATTTGCTAATCAGTTTGTGAAATGCTGATTTTAAAACAATGTGAAGCCATATTTACTCCTGTGTTTAACTCTTCTGCATCTAATTTAGTACGAATCTGTTCATCCATGCAAAGTACCTTGAAAAACAAAGCCGAAATAATGTAGAAAATTGTGGTGATGATAAAACTTAACAAGTATAGCACTAACTGGTTGCTTCTAATTTTGTTGAAATAACCAAAGACTGCCAATGGTGTGGCCTCTCGGGAGGAAGAAGAGATAAGTGAACTGCAGGAAGATGACAGAGACCAGTTCTGTGACCAGTTGGCCAGCGTAGGCATGCTGGGGAGAATTGCTGCGGAACACTGTATACCTCTTCTTACAAGGTATCAAAAAAAAAAAAAAAATAGTCATGCACGCTACTCATTGAAGCCACCACGTATGAAAAAGCCTGATGTTGCCAAAACAATTTAAAACCAGTGAAGTTATTTTATTGTTATTTGTTCACAGTTTATTAGAAGACCGAGTGACAAGGCTCCATGGTCAGTTGCAAAGACATCAGCAGCAGTTACTTGCCTCACCAGCATCAGGCTCAATTGACAATAAAGTGCTTGATGACCTGTACGAGGATATTCATTGGCTTATTTTAGTCACAGGTTAGTGAACAGCTTTAAGTAAGTATTATTTTGGTATTCTTATTGCAGCTGAAACACCTCAGGAGAAAAAATATCCCTCTGTATCAGCTACTCTTAGTCTTAACTGATTATATAACTGACTATAAACTTTATCCTTTATGACTATATAACTGACTATAACTGACTATAAACTTTATCCTTTATGATGCTTTCATCTTACACTACTCACAAAATCTTTGTTTTCCTTTTATCTGCCTTGAGTAATATGAACATTATCTTTAAAAGATTGATGAAACCTTTACATGAAGTAATGTCCTTTGGAAATTCCCACAACTAATTTTGTAACAGATTTTTTGAGAGATGTTACCAGTCAGTGTATTCAAGAAATTAGTCTGCTCGTGATACCAGTTGTATTGTCTGGGGGCACATGGCTTTATAAGGGAATCAGCATGAGATGAGGATAACGGTATTACTCAGTAGGGGCAGAGAATCAATTAAGTTCCAGAATTGCTCATTGCTAATGATGGTGTCCTGGCATTTTGTTGTTTCAGGGAAGTTGAACTTGGAAACTTTTGGGGTTTGATTTTTAGAAGGAACTATATTACATCTGTTTGCAAAACATAATAATCAAGCAGCGTCTGTACTTCGTTAGGAGAGATGTATACTTTATGAAATATTTTGTGGAATCTTTTTAAACATCTGATGTTGTAGTCACTCTCAGATGTTGACCTGAATATGTTTATAATATTTTTCTATCATTGTGGGATGGAGTTTGTATTTGTAGCTCACAGATGGTTATGGGATCAGACACTGAAAACTATGACTAAAGCTGGAATTAATATTAATTATCTGGACACCAGAGCCAGAGTATTGTATAAAAACCCATGCTTCACCTAATCTGCAGTTTTTCCTATGCAAAGAAAACTTTATTACAGAATACGTACTTGGTGTTTTAAAGCCTCTGACATATTGAAATATTAGCAGAAGTCTCAAACAAGATGGACTTGGTGGGGAAGCTGTAAAATAAAGGACTTTTAAAATCACTAACAGAATAAGAAAAAGGTGACCAAAAAATGTTGGTTTGGGTTTTTTTGTTTTGGTTTCCCCTCAATAGTTGAATTGACTGTAGTACATGAAGCAAAGCTTATCTCTTTTTGTTATCATTATTTGTTTTTTAATTTGGTGGTTTCTTTTCCAGTCTTGGTTTCCCTGTCACTTTAGGTTCTTCTCTACTGAATGTCTTTAAGGATTCTAAAGTTAATGTATACATTAAAGTTTAAACAGTGTTAGTCAGGGTTTGTATAAACATTTCATTCTGGTGTGATGTCTGCTGTTAAGCCACTGGTTTCTCTAATCAACAAGCCATAAGTTAACCTAGGGTAGAAAGTTGTGATCACTCTTTCTTTTTTAATGTAAGGCTACGATGCTTTCATCTTACACTACTCACAAAATCTTTGTTTTCCTTTTATCTGCCTTGAGTAATATGAACATTATCTTTAAAAGATTGATGAAACCTTTACATGAAGTAATGTCCTTTGGAAATTCCCACAACTAATTTTGTAACAGATTTTTTGAGAGATGTTACCAGTCAGTGTATTCAAGAAATTAGTCTGCTCGTGATACCAGTTGTATTGTCTGGGGGCACATGGCTTTATAAGGGAATCAGCATGAGATGAGGATAACGGTATTACTCAGTAGGGGCAGAGAATCAATTAAGTTCCAGAATTGCTCATTGCTAATGATGGTGTCCTGGCATTTTGTTGTTTCAGGGAAGTTGAACTTGGAAACTTTTGGGGTTTGATTTTTAGAAGGAACTATATTACATCTGTTTGCAAAACATAATAATCAAGCAGCGTCTGTACTTCGTTAGGAGAGATGTATACTTTATGAAATATTTTGTGGAATCTTTTTAAACATCTGATGTTGTAGTCACTCTCAGATGTTGACCTGAATATGTTTATAATATTTTTCTATCATTGTGGGATGGAGTTTGTATTTGTAGCTCACAGATGGTTATGGGATCAGACACTGAAAACTATGACTAAAGCTGGAATTAATATTAATTATCTGGACACCAGAGCCAGAGTATTGTATAAAAACCCATGCTTCACCTAATCTGCAGTTTTTCCTATGCAAAGAAAACTTTATTACAGAATACGTACTTGGTGTTTTAAAGCCTCTGACATATTGAAATATTAGCAGAAGTCTCAAACAAGATGGACTTGGTGGGGAAGCTGTAAAATAAAGGACTTTTAAAATCACTAACAGAATAAGAAAAAGGTGACCAAAAAATGTTGGTTTGGGTTTTTTTGTTTTGGTTTCCCCTCAATAGTTGAATTGACTGTAGTACATGAAGCAAAGCTTATCTCTTTTTGTTATTATTATTTGTTTTTTAATTTGGTGGTTTCTTTTCCAGTCTTGGTTTCCTTGTCACTTTAGGTTCTTCTCTACTGAATGTCTTTAAGGATTCTAAAGTTAATGTATACATTAAAGTTTAAACAGTGTTAGTCAGGGTTTGTATAAACATTTCATTCTGGTGTGATGTCTGCTGTTAAGCCACTGGTTTCTCTAATCAACAAGCCATAAGTTAACCTAGGGTAGAAAGTTGTGATCACTCTTTCTTTTTTAATGTAAGGCTACCTCTTGGCTAATGATACTCAGGGAGAGACTCCGCTAATACCTCCAGAAGTAATGGAATACTCCATTAAACATTCAGCTGAGGTTGACATCAACACAACACTTCAGATTCTGGGATCGCCAGGAGAAAAGGCCTCTTCCATCCCAGGGTACAACAGAACTGATTCTGTAATTAGGTAAGGATGCATCTTGTGCTTTTAAGTATGTTAAATGCTTTTTCACAGAAATAGAAGTGAGAATATGAGTGGAGTTCTGTGAACTTGGAAAGTAAGAAAGCAATATGTGCACAGTGAACATTGGAAAAGAAATGTCTCTTAACTAGTATTAAAGTAAGGACAAATAATTTATAAGAATGGTTTTGTAACAGCCATATTAAGGCAATGCTATAGAAGATAAGAAAAGATGAAGCGACTTTTTCCAGGGTAAAGAAAGGCCGGGTAAATAACAGATGATATTTCAAGCCAAGATGATCCAGGGGAGGACTGAGAAGAAAAATGAAAGTAAGACATCAAAATAGATAAAACTGAGTTCAGGAAGGCTGAAATGACTAGATTGATGTAATAGTCTTCACAGAAGACATGAGCCAAGTCTTGGAAATAAATAGAAATGTTTTTATATCTCTACTGGAGACCTATCTTTAATCCGCTTGTTAAAGAAAATCTTTAAAATTACTTAAATTATTAAAAGGTTGATAGACCAAAATCTTTAGATAATGTACTCTATACTCTGTAATTCATTCAGCACATGTACAGCTTTAAGCAAATGCTTTTCAGAGCATCAGTGAGCTTGTCTACTTTGAACGTGAGTTACTGCCCAAGCTTGGCAGTAGCAGCTCAACTGGTCCTTGGTGCAGGAGGAATTGTTGTCACTTACGTCCATGTATCACCATTAGCCTGTAAAAGGACCACGAGAAGGGATGCTCACAAAGGACTCCTCAATTTGAATCCTCACACTTCAGAAGATTGAATTCCACTTTTAATAGACATGGAAGATTTTTTTACCCCAGATCAGTTGTTGTCTAATTAAAATTTTCTTCTTCTGTAAGAGGGTAGAAAGAAATGGATCTTCATTAGCAGTGATGGGCCTAACTTCTAGAAGTTTGAATACTGCTCACAGATACTGTTGGCAGCTTCAAAAAGTGGTCGCCAAACAAGATTTCTTGATGCAGTGTCTCAGTGGTGATGGGAATAAAAAGAGATTTGAGGCTCTCTGACAATAGTTCTGAAACATCTTCAAGAAACAGACCACTGTCAACTCCTAAATTCCTTGTGCGCTATCACGTTCTTACCAAATTTAATGGATGTACTACAAAAGTAGTTTTATGGATGGATTGTACTAACACAATCACCAGGTCATCTGCTCTTTCAGACTATTTCTCTGCAGTAAGGAAAGAGAGAGAAATAACTGGTCATTTCTGCATTTGTTCTTAAGTATGCATCATGCTGCAGAAGCTGCACAATTAGGACCCACTTGGTCACTTGATGGTGCAAGGAAGGGAGAATCAGTTTTACTCCAAGTAGCAGTCCATTTGTCTTCATACTCTCGATGTCAGAATGCTTGTGAGGCTTCTTTGTTTCAGTAATTTTGATGTCAAAGATAGAAACTCTAACCTTTAATGTGTATTCTGACTTCCTGGAGGATATTTGCTGGTCTATCCTATCTGTCTCTCCTTGCCTTTAAAGAAACAATAAATTCAGGTGCTTTTTACTTCATTAGAGTTGAACTGCCTTGTGCTATCCTATTCCTTCTGTCATATTTAATGAAAAAATGAAAGCGTTTGCTAGTCACATTGCTTCTCCAAAAACCACTCTCGACATCCTCTTTGTATGTTAAATCCGCAGGTTGTTATCTGCTATTTTAAGAGTGTCAGAAGTAGAATCTAGAGCAATAAGGGCAAATCTAACGCATCTCCTGAGCCCCCAGATGGGGAAAGATATTGTGTGGTTCCTCAAGCGCTGGGCAAAGACTTACCTCCTAGTAGATGAAAAGCTGTATGATCAGGTAAGGATATAATTCTTATGAATTAATTGGTGAGTATTAGCAATAACATTATCCTGTGAATGCAGATGTCGGTGTAGCTATTTTAAAGCGCAATGATAAATCATTTTTAATGTTAAATGGGTTGTAGTTTATTTTTTAATTTCTTTGAAAATTGATGTTTTCTTCAGCTTTTTCATTAGAAATATAAGTTGTTAGGAGACCTTTCTTGCACGTTTTGGTGCAAATATGAATTTTTTTTTACTTTTTTTTTTGGTAGCCATTGCCCTAGCAGAATAGCATAGTGTGCTTTCAGGCTGCATAGTGGGTGAAACTCAGCAATTTTATAAGCTACTTCTCACTATCCATCAGATCTTGCAGTTCATCTCTAATACAGTGGTTGCCCTTGATGGATGATTTAGTGAGTAACCTGGTCATGATTCCGAATTAGATATTTAACACCATCACAAGGTAGTATACATCAGCTAATGTCATGCTACTTTCTCTCCTCCCCCCGTTCTCATATGTTCTCATTGTATACATCATGATTTCAATGGTGTATTCTTTGTAAAGGGCAACTTCTTATCATGTTTGGACAGCACTAATCACAATTAGACCTTGATCCTGATTTTGCTTATAGAACTAACTGTAATCCAGCGAGCTGACGGAGGCCCTCAGCCTGAGGAGGTCCTGTTGCCTCTAACTTTTGAGAAGGAAGCCTCTTCCTCCTCCCCTTTATTTCCACTACTGAAGCAACTAAGAATACTAACGCTTCAGGAGGCCCCTCCTTAACAAAAATAGGCATACCAAAGACTTGTCAATATTTGGAGTCATATTGTTCAGCTTGTACTTACAGTGGAGCTAAGAATTTGTGAAGCTGCCAGTCAGGGAAGAGTTGGAGAGCATGTAAGGAGGAGATCCACATAAGAAACAATGTGAAGAGACAAAATAGAGTATCTAGGAAACGCACACGTCTAGTTTGTGTTGACATGTGAAATGATTGAAACTTCTATTTAAACCTTATGCTCAGTTGCATATACGTTTTGAGTTTTAAAGTTAGAAGTGTTAGCAGTGTGCTGACAGGAAGCCCCTGCACAATTATTATAAAATCCTTGGACTTCACTTTTGAGAAACTTTTTTTAAAGATAGGAGAAGAGGCAACTTCAAGGAAGTGTATTTTAATATGCCAGGTCCAGAAAGTGACATCTTTCCTAAAAGATGTATAGACTGAAGGAACAATCTGCAGAAAGCGGGTGTAGAAAAATTACAATGAATATAATTTTTTTAACAAGATTCAATCTAGATCAACACCTAGGCTTATTTCTAATGATTTTTATCACTAACTTTTGAGAAATTTTGTTGTAAATTCATGAAAACACTTTTGGGAGATGATTTTGGGATCTTGTAAATTTTAAAGCTTTTGAACTTTCATTTGCATTAAAAGCTAGACGTATTCAAACCTGATTTTTGTAATGAGATTGAAACTTTTCTTTGTTTTAGGTGTTGTGCTTAAAATTGCAAGATAAATTTGGCAAAGATTTCTCTTTTAGAGTTGTTCTTTGCCTTTGTCTATGTAAGATTTGTGTATTTTAAGTAGGGAAGAAGTGACAGTCTGAAAAGAATTTGCTGACTGATTACCATTCACTTTGGGGTTCTGGCTTCTGTAAAACTCACTCATTTTAATGCTTTTCTTATAGATAAGTCTGCCATTTAGTACAGCATTTGGTGCTGATACAGAGGGTTCCCAGTGGATTGTGGGTTACCTTTTAGAAAAAGTGATCAGTAACCTGGCAGTGTGGAGTTCAGAGCAGGACCTTGCAAATGATACTGTACAACTGCTAGTAACATTAGTGGAAAGGAGAGAGCGGTAAGTTGCTATATCTCTGGAAGTCAAAAAATTTCTTTTGCTTCCTTTAAATTTTTTTGGCCAAAGTAATCCAGATCTAGGGCACTTCATATTCATGTCTCTGTAAGTCAAATTACTTTAGTAATGTACTATAAATGGGGAAAAAAAAAATTGTCTGACGAAGTGAGGAGTGAGACCTAGATTGACAAAACACAATCTAATTTTTATTATTGTTCAGAAGTGCACTCTCCTTCCCCTACCTTTATGCCTCACTCTTAAACAGTGAGAAAGGAAAACTCTCCTGGTCTCCACTCTTATTGCAAGGATTTTTTTTATGGTGGTGTTTATTTTTGTTGAACAAGTTCTTTCGGATTAAGAGTTCAGGTACTGGCTAAGCCAGTATAAAATGTGTGTTGTAAACATAAAAACTTTTTTTAAATATCCAGGATTTCATGGATTCAGACAAATTGCAAAGTTTTCTTTGGTATCACAAACTGTGAAGCAGGAAATTCTTGAATGTTTTTCTTTTGTGAATTGCCGTGCAATTATGCATGCAATCATGCATACACAGTCTGCTGAGAGACTGTTTTGAAGTTTGAGGATTTAAACAACTGAGGAATTTTCTTTAAAAAAAAAAAAATTAAACCCCACGGGAGCTAGATTTGGAATAAACTGCTTATTTTATCATGACATAATGAGACTAAGCTTTTAATCCATGCAATATGTCCATTAACTCTGTGTGTCTGTGTGTGTAAAACTAAAGCACTTCCCTGCTTTTCTCCCATATGAATTGAGCTATTTTCAGAGTATGTACTTTAGAAATCTTAGAGGTGAGGCATTAATAAGATGAAAATCAAAAGGCAATTTAGCCTTAGAATAAAGGAATTACATTTTTTTTTTAAAAAATCTTCTGACAACCTCTAGCAACCTGATACGCTCTGTTCATGTAATTTTGTGAAGTCTTTTCTTTAATTAAACTATTTTTTCCCTCTTCTAGGGCAAACTTAGTTATTCAGTGTGAAAACTGGTGGAATTTAGCTAAACAGTTTGCAAGGCGAAGTCCTCCTCTTCACTATTTGTCCAGTTCTGTGCAGAGAACACTAATGAAAGCTTTAGTTTTAGGAGGTTTTGCTCATATGGATACGGAAACAAAGCAACAATACTGGACAGAGGTAAAGCTATTTTGATGCTTCTCTTAATTTCGTTTTAGCAAGTAATACAAACAAGGTAGTTTAGGGAAATTTATGGTGACACAAAATCCAACTCATATAGACTTTTTTGATTTTGAACATCTAATACTGATAATTTTTAGACTATTCTCTCTTTGAAGGTCAATAGTTGTGTTTCACTCATGGCTGCCAAAAACTGCCTACAACATCACAACCTAAACAGTAACAATTAATAATTACCTGGAAGACTCGTGAAGCGGCCAGTGTAGCAGTACGCTTGAATGAGACCATTAGCAAAGGTTAAGCATTTCCTTTGGAACTGTGTAATTTCTTCCTTTTAATGTAATTTGTTGGTGTTATGAATTATTCAATTATTCACTTAATGACAGGAACTGAAAAGTTAATGTGGAACATAATGAAGAGCCTTGACCAGCTTTTTGTGCCCTGGCTCCATTAAAGCTCAGATATTTCATACCAGTAAGGTTGGTGCTAGAAAGTAGCTGAGATGTGGTCAGTGAGCACTGCAGGAGTTTGTAAAGCATTGTCCTTCTAGAGAAACTTGCTTTTATTTGCAGAGGGAAGAAATTAGTGATTGAAGGAAAGACTACGGGAAGTAATTGGCCAAAACATCTAACTGGTTTTTATGGAAGTTTCTAAATTGGTTCCAGACACTGCGGATTACAAAAGAGATTGCGTTACTGAGAATCATAACATGACAAAGATAATTGTGAACATGAATCTTAATTAACGCTTTCGTTGATGAACTGTAACATGTTTTTCCCCTAATACTGAATTTGGAAGAGTATGAAATACTGAGAGCCAGAGAAAGTCATTGTTATTTGTTTAAAGACTACAAAATAGCATAAGATATTTATGGAGGTGCTCGTTTTGAAACCAGCCTGCAGGTGGTGATGGATATTGAGAATCACTAATCACTGCCACTTCAGCTTATGTTAATGTCACAGATAATAACATAACTGGGCTGTTGGAAACTGGAAGAGATTGATTCTTGTCCTGCCGTGCCACAGGCAACCTATGAGCTTGCTAAATAAACCTCACATCTCATGTATGCTTATCTTAATGTGACTTTTCTAAAAAATTTTCAGGTTCTTCAGCCACTTCAGCAGCGGTTCTTGAATGTGATAAACCAAGAAAACTTTCAGCAGATCTGTCAGGAGGAGGAAGTGAAACAGGAAATCACTGCTACATTAGAAGCACTCTGTGGCATTGCTGAGGCTACCCAGATTGATAACGTAGCAATTCTCTTCAATTTCCTAATGGACTTCCTGAATAATTGCATCGGATTAATGGAAGTATACAAAAACACACCAGAGACTGTTAATCTCATAATAGAAGTCTTTGTTGAAGTTGCACATAAACAGATTTGCTATCTTGGAGAGGTAAATAGAAAGGAAAGGGGAAGGAGGGACGTGTGTATGTGTATGTGTGTATACAGTGCTATCCCTTCAACAAAATAAAGGATAGTGATTTTTAGATTCTATAGAGAAAGAAAGGCTATATGGTCACATCTGTTAGAGGAATTCCTTTGTTTGAAAACATACACTTACAAAGATTAAAAGCAGAAGGTCTAGACTGTTCTTACACTAATAAATTTACCCATAATTCAGCACTAATCTAATGCTATGCATGGGTGGCAAAAGAGTGCAGACCACCTTGAATACTTTTTTTTAACCGTGTCAAACTTCTCTGAAAGCATCTAGGAGAATTGCAGCACTGTTTTATGTGACAAATGCATACCACAGAGACACTGCCTTGGGTCCTAAACAAGGCATAATGGATATCAAGATATTATCTGGTAAAACGAGTCAGTGCAGTGCACTTACATCTTGGCTAATTTTGGTTTTGCATCTACAAGTGATCCTGCCTATTCCAAACTGGGTATGCACAAACAGTGTGTTATGGCTCCAAAATTTGATAGCTGAAGTGAGTCCCCAAGAGATTTTGTTGTTTATCTAGTTTGTGAGATTACTGAGATGTCAGCCTGTCTCAAGCCACTCTTAACAAAAAAAGATAAGGTGGAGGAATTGACAAAAGTGATGTTCTGCTATTTCAATGGGTAGCACATCAATATATGGCTGTTCTTACTGTTTAAGGCGGCTGTTTCCTTGACGGTTTTGTGTGCAGTTGTTGCAAAAAGTGGTTCTGTAACTGAAATGAAAATCTTGGGGTATCATCAACCAAGTAACTCCATCTTAAAACAAACTGTAGCCCTTTTAGCATATGGAAGTTTTCTTATTTTCTAACATTGTTTTATAGGCCAAAGCCATGAACTTGTACGAGGCCTGCCTCACTCTGCTCCAGGTGTATTCCAAGAATAATCTAGGTCGACAACGGATAGATGTTACAGCAGAAGAAGACCAGTACCAGGATCTCCTTCTTATTATGGAGCTTCTCACTAATCTTCTATCAAAAGAATTCATAGATTTCAGTGACACAGGTATGAAGGGGTTGGTAATTGCTGAACCATAAGTTGTGTTTTAAACTGTAAAAACCATTGTGGGACATGCATTCAACCCAGGTGAAGTGAAAACTGAAGCTTAGGCATGATTAGATCAGGATATGGAAATTACTGTTCAATGTGCCAGCAGCAAAAGAAGGACTTCTCATAGTATTTAACATCTGCAATGATTATTGCTGTCATAAAATGAATAGGTATGTATGAAACAGGTTGAAATCTGGATGTTCCAAGTCTGTACATGTATTAGCAGCAATTTTATAATGAAAAACCCACATAGAAGTCAGAATAGTAAATCACCACAAGAGGACGGATGGATTATCCTCTTAGTATAAGGTCCAACTTTTGTGAAATTCTGAGCTTAATGAAATTCCATCATGTTTGAGGGTTTTCTGTATTCCTCATGCACAGAACATGCTTTATGCAACATGTATGGCATGTGGGTGTAGCTAAGGGTTCTTTTTTGTAGCCCAGCATGTTACTTTTTTCCCATATATGTGCCACTTAAAATTGCAGTAGTCCTGAATACAGTCTGCCAGTTCTAGTTCAGCTGTGCTGCTTTGCTTTTGAATAAGCTGAAAACATATCCACGTGATTCAGATCTCACCATGTCCTATACAGTTTGGACAGAAAAACATGCTCAGTAACAAACTGAATCTGCCTTGATTGTTTTAATGTCGTTTGTTGCTTTTCTGAGGTGCATCTTGAGAGAACCTTGTACTCCAAAATTCAGTGCATCACTCTAGTTGTTGGGTTTTTTGTCATGCATGCACAACACAAATACAGAACTCATTTAGACTTTGTCTATTGAATGGACAACATAGTAACACATTCTGTTTGAGGTCAGATGTTGGAAGTTAATTGCATGGAAAACACTGTAAAATGCTTACCATGGAACTAAAGAAAGTGAATCCTACCTAAATGTAATGCCCAGAGACCAAGTACTTTGAAAGGTGTCTGCATGCTGTTGCTAACGCAGTGCAGGAATTACAAAAGTAAGGTCACTGCCAGCTGATGGGAAATATAGGTCTTACCTGTAACTGGAGAAAATTTGGCAATATCTAAACTGTAGAATTTTCTGCATTGTCTTCCAGTTTTTTTTCTCCTTGTGCTTACAAAACATATATAAACATATGTTAATATATATAAAAAGTATAAAAATGCAGTAATATATTGCTCACTATCTGTTTGTGTGTGCAGGCATGAAGCAGCCATCACTAGCAACAAATGCAATGTTCTGTAATGGAAGGGAGCCCTCAGAGTATCTGCAGTGTTCTGTTTTAGCGTGCCATCTGCTACACGTGGTTATGAAATGCTTAGTCCTAATGAATATAAATATAGAGTGATGGCAGCCTGCACTCACTAAGTTTCTATTTTAATACAGTGCCTCATGTTTTTGTTTGGGGCAAGGGGAATAGTCCTATTTTTAAAAATGCATTTATTATAAAGAAATGGGACTTGTCCTTCAATATGTTTAATCCTGCTTTTATACAAAACATTTTTTGCCTTTTCTGCAGATGAAGTATTTAGAGGACATGAGCCTGGGCAAGCTACAAATAGATCTGTATCAGCAGCAGATGTTGTCTTATATGGGGTTAATCTAGTTCTGCCTCTAATGTCCCAGGATCTGCTGAAGGTAAGTATATTTCTACATGTAGTTGCTAGAATATGAAAGCTCTATAGTAATGGATTCCTAGAATTCATTCCTATATGCATTCCACCTCCGTAAGTTGAGTTTTCTAGGCTTTTTAAAATGCAAATAACTGTTCCATAGATCTAGATACCGTTTGAAAAGGAATATTGTAAGCTGAGAAAATGTATATTTGAAGGGCCTAAACAAAATTTTTTTCTTCTAATAGCGAGTCTGTGCAGGTCAACAATTAGCCAACCGTGAAACGTGGCTTGTGGAATCCTTTTTCTGATGCTCTCAGAAATGTCATCGGAATTATAAAGAGTGAAATTTTTAAAAAATAAAATTAATCTGGGAGCAAGTAGTAACTCTTAATTATTTTTACAATACAGCTGGCTTTTGTATAGACATGAGCAACTTGTCAGTAGAACCATAAAACAGAAAAATGGAAGGGCAGGATTTCATTGCGTTGCACTGTGTTAATGCTTGGCTTTGAGTCGGGGAGCGCTTCTGAAGTGTGTCTGGGTTGTCCCCTCTAACACACTTTCTCATCTGGTAGCACTCCCTGGGCACGAGGGTTATGTCTGCTTTAGATGAAACTGAGCCAAAGGACATACCCTACGAGCCCTCCCCTCTGTTGTGCTCCAAATGCTCGTCAGGCTTTTTACCCCACAGGACTAGACTTGCTCATTTCTAAAGTAAAACTCCTTGAATTTGTACAGAGCAGATACTCGACTCCCACCATCACCTGTTTAGCTTTAGCAATTTTTTTTTTGTTGTACCACACTGTTTGCTAATAAAGTTGTAGCCATTCTGTGATTCTAATGACTATGAAGTTGCCTACTAAAATTGTCTTTTCTTCTTCAGTGGAAAGCATCAGACTTGTCTCTGTCCACATGGAAATTATGTCAGAATACAATTATAGATTTGATTCTAAAATTACCACGTTTTTCTTTTAACAGTTTCCATCCCTGTGTAATCAATATTACAAATTAATCACTTTCATCTGTGAGATATTCCCTGAGAAAATTCCACAACTTCCAGAGGACCTCTTTAAGAGCCTCATGTACTCACTGGAGTTAGGGATGTCATCGTATCCTTTACAGAGATTGGGACTGTTTAAAAATCTGAGTTGCTTTTATAAGGACCTGTTAAAAATCTGATTTTTTTTTTCTTGCATTTTTTTTTCTTTTCTGTCAATCTTTTGTATGTATAATTATATATCAGTAATCAACTCTTGCTGTCTGGGGACTGAGAATTTCTCTGTAGTGTCTGTTGAGATTCTGGTATTAGCTGAATTTCCTCTGCCTCGTGCTGCTTGAATGCAGCCTTTAAGTGGTTTAGCGTGTAAGTTTTTTCTGGCAGCCATTCCTGCCTCCTCCATTACTTCAGAGTGTGTAACTTCATAAGCCTTCAGCTGGTATCGCAAAGCCATTCCTGAATTAGTTTCTCAGCTGGTAACACAAAACACCGCTGCTGTTCTACTGGGCTGGCTCCAGAGCATTTCCTGTCAGGGTGCCAATGGGCTCTCCCGCTCATAATGGGAGCACCATTTTCACTAATCTGTGGCACGTGTCAGAAACAGATGAGCTTGACCATAAGGGACTCTTTCTGAAAATGTTATGTCAGAGAGGGTTATGTTACCTTCGGGCTTGTAGCTAATTAAAGGCGGCAACAAAGCTGGAATTCTTTTTTTTCCCTGCTTTTTCTCTTTTTTAATTTATTTTTTTTATTAACACCTTTATATTAAAAAAAAAAATCTTGGAACGTATGAGCATTTAAAATATTTTCTCGTTCCACCACTGGGAAGTTTTACCACAATTTCACTGACATCTGAGTTGGATTCTTTAACGCCCGTCACCAGAATGAGTTCAGAGGTTTGCCAGCTCTGCCTGGAGGCGGTAACCCCGTTAGCAGAACAGTGTGCAAAAGCACAAGAAACAGATTCAACCCTTTTCCTAGCAACAAGGCACTTTCTTAAGGTAAGGCATCTGTGTTTCGTGTTACTTTGGTTTTTTGCATACAGGTACCATCAAGAGACCAAACAGCTTAACCAGGATCATGCATATAGTAAGAAGCAGCCCGTTACCTAAAAACCTGGCAGTTTAAGAAGAAAGAGCATGAAGGACTGGAGTCACTGGACTAGAGTACAAAGGAGGATGGAGGCAAAGAGAGAGGAAACTACTTGATGCCAATCAACAAAAGACCTGAGCCTCTCAAAATGCAATTTATATTTATCCATGCTCTGCACATGAGCTCTAGAATGAGCCTGATTGACGATGTCAGCGCGGTTACATTTATATGAAAGCTGTGAATTAGAAAGCTTCCAGAATTGTGTGAACTGAAGGCTGGGTAGAGTACTCAAACAAGAGGCAGAAAAAAGAGCAGAGTTGGGAACTAGAAAGAAAGTGCTGTCGTTTATTCAATGTATCCAATGAATTATGCATTTTCTTAATCCAGTATCATTCTTAGTACTTTCCTTTTAGGACCATTCACTCTATCTCTTTGAATTCTGGAGTGACATAGTAGCAACCAGGTTCCTGCTAACTGGGAACAAAGTAATTGGAGAACTTGTGTACTTCTGATTTTTGTAAAGACTTCCACTTTCCTTAAGGCATCTTTTCTTACCAAACTGACATTTGAAGTTTTGGGGATTGCTCATTAAAACCATGCATCAGCCAAGCTGAGAGAATGAGAAACACCTTAAATAATTCCATTTGGTTTTGTATTTCTTCTAAGTTAACATAGCTTTCTGCCTTTTCTCTAAATTTCCACTTAAAATTATAATACCGCTTTTATTAATCTGTTCCCTTCTTGGCTTTCTGTGAGCTGTAGGAGTCTCCAAACCTTGAGGGAAAAGTTCCCTGTTTTATTCTGGAAGAACAAAGGCTCTTTTCATTATTTCTCTGGCATAACTGCAACTTTGGAGAAAAATACAAGAGATGCCATTTCTCTCTGAAGAGCACATATAAATCAACAACAGGTTTCAGTGCTTTGAGATATGATTTGTGCTGTTAAGCCAAGACCTGACTTCTAAAAGAACTTGTCTATCCAATTACTCATACCTAAATTTGGAAAAAAAAGGCAACAAAACAAACTTGGATGTTTGTAAATGCATGTTCATTATTATTATCAGAATGAAGATAAGAGGTTCAGCGGTAAATGCTGGTAAAGTAAAAAGTTAAGTTTACACTTCCGTAACTACTTCTGTTTTGTGATTTCAGATGGTCTTTGATATGCTGGTACTTCAGAAGCACAACACAGAAATGACGACTGCGGCAGGTGAAGCGTTCTACACTTTAGTGTGTTTGCATCAGGTACGGCATTTAGACACTTACACCCTGAAAACCAGTCACTTGTTGAAGGAGAGCAGTTGATTACTGTGAGTCTGGCAAATCATAGAATCGTTCAGCTTGGAAGGGACCCTCAGGAGGTCTGTAGTCCAACTTCTTGATCAAAGTGGGGTCAACACTGAATTCAGATCAGGTTGCTCAGGACTTTTTCCATCTGTGTCTTGAAAACTTCCAAGATGGATAATCCAAAGCCTCTCTGAGCAACCTGTTGAATGCTTTCTTTATCCTTATAATTTATGTACTTTCAGTACCTGCCAGAGAGTCTTGGTGGCCCACCACTGGAATCATTTAAGTTTATCAATATTCTTCTTGTGCTAAGGAGTCCAAAACTGGACACAGTATTCCACATCTAATCTAACAAGTGCTGTGTAAAGACAAATAATAAATAGAGCCCAGCATGCTGCTAGTGTTCATTGCTGACAAGGCACAGGGCTGACTTGCTTAGCCTGCTGTCCACCAGGACCTTCAGGTCCTTTATTCAGCAGACCTGCTCCCCAACCTGTCAGTTCCCAGTCCATGTAGTTGCAAGGGGTTAGTCTGTTTCCACTGCAGAACTTTGCATTTGTCCTTGTTGAATTTCATGAGGTTCCTGTCAGTTCGTTCCTTCAGCCTGACTGGATGTCTCTGAATGTCAGTCCTGCCTTTGAATGCATTGGCCGCTCTCCCCAGCTTGGTTTCATCCACAAACTTGAGGAAAGTGCATTTCCTTTCCTCCTCCAGGTCACTGACTAAAATATGTAACAGGACAATGTCCAGATGAGAGCCCTCAGGGCCACTTGTAACTCCACATCCAGGTGGAATGAGAGCCATTAATGGCAATCCGTTAGAGGGTGATGATACAGGTGTGTTTTCACCCATGTAGTAGTCACTCATCTAGACAATAAAATCCCAGCTTGGTTACAAGGATGCTGTGCAAGACTGCTAAAGACTTGCTAACATCAGGCATCCACTGCTCTCCTCTCATCCACAGATGTAGTCATTTCATCAAAGACGACAGATTGGTAAATCCTTGCTGGCTGTTCTCAGTCCCTTTCTCTTTCCCGTGCCCAGAGGTAGCTTCCGGGAGTACTTGCTTCGTGATTTTCTTAGTCATTCAAAGATGATAGAGAGCAGCCTTGTAATGACACGAGCCAGCTTTCTGAACCCCTGGATGGATTCTGGCAGGTCTCATGAGATTGAGTGCAACAAGATCTCTCCAGATCCCTGGGTTGATCCTCTTTACTACTGGTAGTTCTTCTCCTCCTCGAACCCTGTCCATAGTCATAAAGGTCTGGGGAAAACCTGTCAGTGAAGACCAAGGCAAAGAAAGCATTGAGTATTTCAGCCTTATCTTTTGACTGTTATCGCTAAATCACCTGCTCCGTTCAGCAGCAGGAGCCACGTTTTCCCTGTTCCTTCTTTTATTCTAAATGTACTGGTAGAAGCTGCTCTTGTTGTCTTTGATGGCCTTTGCCAAATTCAGCTGTAGCTGAACTCTGCTTTTCTGTCATTGTTCTTGTCCAGTGTTTCTGTTTCCTCCTTTGTAACTGTCCCTGCTGCTATCTCCTGCATGTGTCCTCCTTGCCCTGGAGTTAGCTGGGTCAGTGTCCTGATGTGTTTATGTTGTTTTCCTCAGTATGTGGACAGGCCATTCTTCTGCTTGGAAGAGGTTGTCCCTAAAGACTGGTCAGCTCTCCTGAGCTCCTTTTGTCTTCAGAGCTCTCTCCCATAGGATCAATCCCATCCACCAGTCCCCTGAAATCTGCTCTCCTGATATCCAGGGTCTGTACTTGGCTGCCCTCTTTCCTTGCTCTCCAAAGGGTCCTCAACCTCCTCTCTTCCATGTCACTGTAGCCAAGGCTGGTTGGTAGGGCACGCCAAATGTGGGGCAGGAGTGAAGACAGAGAAGTGTGGTTTGTTTGCAGGAGTAAGCCTATGCTAAGGAAGAGCCAGAGGGCACTTGGAAGGGAGTGCCTTAAAGTTTCTTCTTACTCTGCACTGCCAAGAACCGTACCTAGCTCTAAGGGCTTCTTCAGCCTCACTAAAACCCTGGTCTGATTGAAGGACTTTATCTGGTTCAGAGGTAGGTGAAAAGCTGCAGATCCATAGTCACTTCTGGTACACCAGTCAGTGAAACTGGGTAATAGGTGGAAAGGTACCAATAGTTTTCTGTCACAGAGTTGATTCTGAATTTTGTCTTGATGGGAGAAGTTGTATATATTGTATTATTTTTAAGCTAATGAGATCCTTGTTTATTTAACAGGCTGAATATTCAGAGCTAGTTGAAACATTGCTATCAACTCAACAAGATCCAGTAATTTACCAGCGGTTAGCAGATGCCTTCAACAAGCTTACTGCAAGCAGCACTCCTCCTACACTGGACCGTAAGCAGAAGATGGCCTTCTTAAAGAGTTTAGAAGAATTTATGGCAAATGTCGGTGGACTTCTCTGTGTAAAATAAACAACAAAACTCTATGCCTAATTTAGACCCTTTCTGCAAAATGCACTGAGAAATGCTGAATGCTGACTAAATCTTGTACCTGTCTCTGGGTTCTTTGCAGCCATCTCAGATTCTAGAGAGCCTGGAAGTTTGAACATAACACAATGGAATAGGAGAGGTCAACTTTGAATCAGCTTCTGCTATTACATGTTAGCTGCAATCTGTCATACTTGTGTGTGGGAGAGAATGAACAGAAAAATCGAATTTAAATTTTTTCCATATATGTGCAAACAGATATGGGCACAATGAAAAATAAATTCAGTGCCTTCCCCCCCCACCCCCACTGGTTTAAAATATGAGTGGCCAGATAAACATACAGATTTCTTTTCTACCCAAAATCATGTTAGAGTGTGATGCAGATACGTACGAAGCTCTAAACAGTTTAGCTGGTTTTAAGCTTTATTTTTCCTCTCTTAAAGTTTGAGTTTGTGTTCCAATGGGGAAGAAAAACCAAATGGTATTTTAACTTGTGTTTTGTTCTGGTTTTCTACATCAACCTGACGTTGCATGTTTAATGCAGTGCAGGTCTTTACATTATGTTCTGCTGCCTAAAGTTCAGAAGAAAAAAGGTGTATATTTTTGTTCCCCGAAAATGAACTTTAGGAACTGTAGCCATTTCATTGCCTTAATTTAAAAGAAAAAAAAAAAGCTCATATACTTTAGATAAGAAATTTAAGGCAAGGTTTGACTCTTCAGAGTTGGTTTAGGATGTTGGCATTAAGCTGCTGTGTACCTGTTACAGCCCTTCATGTTGACGTGTCATTTTGGAATGAGTGTCTAATGCAAGGTTCACGTGTAGTTTTACTTTCAGTATCTGTTTTGATTCATACCCAAGTTGCACGCAACTGCAATGTATTTCTACACTGAACTGTTTGCTTAAGCAATAACAACTCAAAAGGTGTAAATTACTGGCAAACTTGTTAAAGTTGGGGCATTAGCTAAAACAATTATGCTAGAACAGGGGCATCAAACCCTGTTACTCAAGGGCCGTATTTGTTTGACTTGAGTGGAGAAAGGTAATTGGGATGCGTAGTGCCGCGGGGGATTTTTGATTGTGCTGAATGTAGCTCCGCTTCTGCAGAGCCCTCCCAGCTGCTCTGCTCTTGCTCGGTGTTTGATATCAGCACTTTAGCTATTGCAACAGCAGATTATAGTGCCCTGAGTATAGTGGACCAACAAGGGAGAGCAGCACATGAACACAAAAGCAAGGCCTGCTTTGTCTCCAGCTGTGAGCCGGGGAAAACTGAAGCAAACACAAATGCTGCACGTCTAGTAAAATCGATTTTAACGGACATACACGGAGGCAGAAGTGGGCCCTTTTGTTTAAGACCTCTGCTAGATTATCCTGTTGAATATTTCCCATGTGTTTTTAAAATCCATATAAAATGTACAGTATACACCTTTACATGGCTATGTATAGCATCATGTTTGCAACTCTGTGCCATCCTTCAGCTATTCATCTCAAAATTAGTCACAATAGCCAGAATTTTTAGAATACACAAATCTGTAATACTGTGCTATAAGTGACCTAAGGCTCTGTTATTTTTTAGTTAAATCCATACCTGTCTCAAGCATGGATCCACAAGGCCAAAAATGACATCTCTTCATTATACTTTTTTAATTTATGTGAAAACTGGGATAGGGCAGATTTACACATTAAAAAGTGTCTATAAAACTTGTGAGATGACGTACCTTCCCAGCTAGTATTTTATTTCTAAGATAATTTGCATAGTATTTTAGAACAGGGGTATTGCTCTCAATTTTTTCTTTAAACTGTAATGCATTTCTTTAAAAGATTTCTTGACTGTGCACTTGCACAAAAGATAATGATCCTGGCAGATCCTTCTGTTTTAAAACTGTTCTGATGGCTGATTTTTTTAAGTTTGTCTGGGTTTTGCTATGTTTTTGAAACTGCTTCTGGAGTTTCTCTGAGCTTGCACATTGGATAGGACAGCAGTTCTGAAACCTCATTTTTTCAGGTGAAGGGCATTAAAGCCTGGGAACATAAGTGGCAGTAGGAGCTGCTGGTTTGTCATGATGTGCTCGATGTCAAGTATCTAGGTCAAAGTCTGCAAAGAGATTGTAGCAAACACCTTCAAGTTTTTTGGATCTCACTGAAAAACTCATATTCTTAGTCATCATTTCATTGATAACTAGCTCTGTCACTGTCATTTTTTAAATCCTAAAGCTGGCTCACTATTTAAAAATATTTATTAACTTTGACATTTTGAAATCCTCTTGAATATTTTGATTGATAAATGGGAGCACAAACTGAGACAGTATTTGGTACAAAGTAACGTGCATACCCATTACTCTTCTAATCAGGCCCCCTGTGTTGTAACACGCAGAGACGCGCAGCATCTTTTGACTATTAAGACTTGCTAAAGTATGAACAGTTACTTTCAAAGACTACTTTTGAAGGTTGCTTGAAACTTTCCTTTGCTATTCATTTAAAATTAATATTATATGTTTAAGGGAAACTGTCCTTGTAAGGGATTTTTTTTTTTTAAATTTTGCTTGATGTTATGCTAGGCAACATTCTTCCTTTCTTGTTTCTTAATTTTTTCTTCCATTCTCCCAACAGGGATCTTTTCATGCCATTTTATGTTTCTTTTAGAGCAAATGCTAAGATGTCTCTGCTTAGTGACTTGTATGAAATCGTTGCAAAACGTTCTGGGAATAAGTTTTGTTAATTCATACTCCTGCTGGCTAGGTGGCTGCTTCCACCTAAACTATTTGGCTTCTATATGCCTTCCAAAAAAAAAAAAAATCTTTCAGTGATCTTCTGCACATCCAGTTGCTGTAAATTTAAATGCAAAAGCTCACTCAAGTCCATAGGAAAGGCTCATAGACAATTTTCAGTGAACATTGAGAGTTGGCTCCACATAAGTGTTCTGAAATTTTTATAGCATCACTGCATTGATTTTCCGTTCACTGTGCAAAGTGAATAATGGTTCTAAAAATGCAACTCAAAGTGAATTACAAATGCTGCATGGTGTAATTGTAAGAAATACATTTGTCTAAATTTTTTTTTTTGCTAAAACAGAGTATTGCTCCAGTGTTTTCATTCTGAGACTAGAAATCAAGTAGCTTCTTTCCCCTTTTTCCAGCTCCTTCCCCATTGTAATAGCTAGTTCTAATGCTGGCATGATAATTTTCTGTTGTTCAACCTCCCATTTTCGATGCTGGCGAGCACAACCATCTAGTTGGGTCATGAAATCCAAGACCACCTTGAAAGCACAGATTCACATGGACAGGGAGAAGTGGACAACTGCTAAATGAAACTTCCACTTTCATGTGCATTATGCCTTAATTACCTTCACTGAATTACCGCCGGAATCTGCTACTTATTGCCCAGAGGTTTGTGTTCCACTGTTTAGTGATGAAGGGCTCTCAGTTTTACTCAGGAATGAGAAACTTGTTTTCTCAGCATGTCTAAGTCCTAGTAGTTGGAAGAGAGGGGTTGAATCAGAGTCATCTCTTCAATAGTGTGTAGCACTCACTAAAGCCCCAGTGTTTACCTGGGTAAACCCCCTTATATCTAAGCCATGTAGTTCTAGGAAATAAGGTCACTTAGAGCAGTCAGTTGTCTGCTGACTGCATTTAGAGTCTAATTGTTTAAAAGGTGAAGCAAATTCTAATTTGTGATCTGCAAAATTATTAAAAAGTACAAATTGCAGCGTTTATCTTGTAAAACACTTCAAGTAATTTCAGTTTTGGTTAAATAATTACATAAGAAGGGGTGTTTTTTATGGAAGTAGCTTGATGAATATAAGCGCAGGAGTAGGAGCCAGGCTCCTCTAATTTTGTATCAGTTTTTCCACTGGATCCTCTGTGGCCATTGGCAAGTGGCTGGAACTGTGTCATTGTTAATACAGCAGTAATACCTACCTCACAGGGATGTTGTGAGGATCAGCTTATGCCTATAAAATGCATTGAGGATCTGAGATGCTATGTAAATATTAAATATTTTAATTTTAGTTGGGGTGTAAGATTTACTGTAATGAAAACAGAAGATTTTCATAATTGCAGAGCCCAGTAGAGGCAGCAGTGGTGCAGTGTTCCCCAAGAACTGGTCTGTAACGCTTGCTGTAAATTGTAGTTACTTCAATTGCAGCCAATTGAAATGGTGGCTGCTTCTTAACCAAGATAAGATTCCCCACCAGTGTGCCTCAGTTCTGCTCTAAATAGCAGGAGGACAGTTGCTAGTTATTCAGGCTTTGGTGCCTCTACTTGTAAAGGGCGCCACTTGTGGTGGTAGGGGTTTTCATTTGGTTTTTTTACACTTTTCTGCAAGGAACAAACACGACTCATTTTTTCCCGTATCTGTTCCAGTCACTCAGTACAACCAAAGCCTAATGATATAAAACTTAGAGCCAGCCCCGCCCACTCCCCCCAAATTTGTTTTTAATATTAATAGATTGTGCCCTCTTTGCAGTAAATGAGATTAATGCTTTCCAGCACAAACCATGAAACAAATCATGAAGTGTCATTTGCTCTGGAGCCTTAAGCTCTCAGCTGTCTTTCAAAACCCTTTTTTCAATATGAAATTCTTGGGGCTCTACCAACTGAGAAATAAGATATCCCTGGTATTGCCTTCTCCTCAGTAAATTACTGTAAATGCTGCTTTTTCATTTCTTCCCTTTCCCTATCCTGCTTTTCCTGTTCTTTTAAGCCATTCTTAGAAAAGATTTGGGAGACCCTTCCAACCTCAAGAGAAAGATACTACCCACGTGATTTTTCCAGTCTGTTACCGCTTGATACTTGAAATTGATAAAATAATTTCTAATAGCATTCCCCAGCACGTTTCAATTTCCCATTGAACCATTCTAGAGTTTATAATTAGGAAAAAATACTACCCTCTTTTATTTGTTCCCTTTGTGCAAAATAAGGAACCTCCATGCAGTGAACATGCAGTTTTAAGGCAATAAATGCTAGTACTGCTGTTGGTCAAGTGTGTAAATATTTTAAATGTATAATTCAGTACTATGTTGAGTTTATATATTAAAAATGCAGGGATTGAAGTGCTAGTTGATTTCAAGTATTGTTTTACCTGTACAGTTGAAGATACAAAGTTGCATAAAATACTTCACAATTTGTTGCAATAAGACTTGGGAAATGGAAGTGGCTGTGTAATCAAGCCTTATCACAACTGAATTTTCAATTTTGAAATGAACACTTTCTGTATTATGAAGATCCATAAGCAGGAGGAGGATAAAATTGTTTTCCACTAAAGACTTTTATTATTTTGTTTTGGCCATGTGTGATTTGTGTGTATTCTTGTTTAATATTTTTCTAAAATCTCACCGCTGTTGAATCCCTGAAATAGCATTTGTTCTATCTCCTTACAGTATAAACAAAAATAGGAACATTATGGAACTTCAGGCTACATGTTGTGCTCTTTGGCTAGTTATGAATGCATGTAGTCATTCAGTGAAAGCTGATGAAGTAACTTTAGTTTACATTGGCACTTAAGGCATGAGTGTGTCCATCAACAGAAAAGAAAAAAAAAACCAATGAGATCAGGTGTGTGACAGGAGTATCTCACACTGGACTGCAATTACCAAAAGTAGCTGTGAATCATAGAATGGTTTGGGTTGGAAGGGACCTTAAAGATCATCTAGTTCCAACCCCCCTGCCATGGGCAGGGACACCTCCCACTAGAGCAGGTTGCCCAAAGCCCTAATATATATTCAAATAAATCTTTTCCCCCATGCTCCAAAAAAAAAACCTTAATGATGACTTTTCAGGTCACTGTTATTGGTGGTGTTTGTCTACCCAGAAGCAACACTGATTTCTGGGTCTTGAAATTTTTTTTTGTGTAGATTTAATCTAAATAGTTTCTGATGATACCTGGCACAGAAATGTTCTCCAAGCCCATAATCTGTTCCCATGTACAGGACATCCATCAGTATGTTACTTTGTTACTTCATATGTATCAGAAAAGTTCAGTTAAAGGCAGCAGTTCCTAATGTACTATAATTACTTTTGGATAAGCTACAGCTATTTTCTATTGTTCGCCTCTTACTTTCATGCGCTCACATCTTTAAAAAAAAAAAAAGCTTCACAAATCCTGAAAGTAAAACTACGCAACAACTATGGCGGTGACAGCTTGCTATACATCTTGGCCATATGCGTCACTAGAATTTTACTGGTTTCAGAGGTAAAATTATTGCAATTATATATTTATTTTGGCCTGATTTAGTTCAGTGAGCATTTTGGAGAAGGACAGAAACATTTAAGGTAATTCTGAGCAAATCCCTAAAAGTAGCTGGTTAGATTAACAGCAGCGTATCCAAGAGCCTTTCGTGTAGAAAATGGAACTATTCTGCTTTACCTTAAATATGAGGTCTGGAATAAACTTGAATGATTTGGGTATGAAGTCTTTATTCACACTTGTTTGTGTAAGTGTATGCAAAACCTATTGATTTTGCTTTTATGAAACTTACATTTGCTTCAGTCCTGAGTGGTGGGGTTGGTGGTGGGCTGTTTGGCTTCATTGATTTGCCACGTATCACAAGCAGAAAGGTAGGAAAGCTCATCCTTCCAAGTGGAATTCATCTGGCAGGTCAACTGAGGAGGTGGTCATGTATGAACTGGAAGAGGGGAGGAGGAGGAGGGGGGAGAAAGTAAAAAGTTTGCAACCTTATGTGGAGAAAAAAAAAAAGCCAATATGTAAGAGGAAAAATCCATAACGGAAGTATTATCCCATAACTTGATAATCTGTGTCATCCTGACAGGGATTAGTAAAAACCTGCCATTTCATCAGCACATTTTTTGGGGGGAAAAGAGAAAGTTCTAATTTGGAATTGTATGAAATGTGATACTACTGGTGCGAGTTTTGTTAATTAAATAATAAATTCTTCTTTATTTGGGGAAACATTCCAGAGCTCTCCATCTCCAGAGAGAACACAAGTTACCCCCTGTGACTGATACATAACTCATTACTAGTTTTTCTCCCATCTATATCTGAATGTGGTGGAACAACTGTTTTCACTTTAACATCCATGAGAAGTTTTCGGATTTGATTTTTCTGACACTCTGTTGCCTTTGCAAGTTAGAGTAAGGCAGAGCTTTGGGTGTGAAGTAGTTCCCTTTTTCTACCCCTCTGTGTCTGGCCTAGTGTTTGTGGTTGCAAAGGTGTGAATGTCTGATTTGCTTTAACTTACTGTTTTGGATGATGCAGTTTGGGTTTGTGGCGTATTCCAACAGCTTCCGTTCTCTGTGTTTGGTGTTCACTGAATGAAAGTCATCACTAGACTCCAACACAAGTATTGACTTGAAAGCCTCACTTGTAAGTTGGTTTAATAAGTTGTCAGGACACTTGCTTTAAATTGTAGGACTGCACCAAAACTTCTAATGGTCTTTTGCTCATTCAAATGATTGTTGTAACTCAGAAAAAAAAAAAAAAAACCCAAAGCCAAAAGCCACCACCACCACACTGTGGAGTCTTTAGGAAGATCACTGATGTCCTCACACAAGATCAACACTGCTTTGGGGAAGGCTTAACACTCTTCTGCCACTTTAAAGAAAGACTGTTCTTCGGAAGTACTTTTTGCCTGCTTTTAGGCTGTTATGCACTTTCATGATTTCTTAACAAACTACTGTTAAAAATGTACTGTATCATGGATTTTGATAAGCGCACATGTATTTAATCAATTCACTCAGCCTCAGGAAAGCTGGAAAAATCGGATACCTGTTTTGTATCTTGGTTAAAATGTTTGTTACTTACATCCCTTAAGATGGCCAGATAATGTCTAAATCCTGTAACTATTTAAGATACCAGAATAGTCTGTAAAAGGAGGACAGTGTAATTTTACCCTAGGGACTGAGAAAATTGTGTCCTTCTCTTATTTTTCTTAGAGGTATATATAGTCTGAATTGGAGGTTCAAAAACAAAAAACAGTGATAAACCCCATTTACTGTTCAGGAAAAAAAATGTTTTCTTTGGAACACTAGCGTATTTCTATTTTCTTCCTCTTCCTTAAAGAGTGTGTGATATAAGTGCCGAGGTGTGTGTAGGAAAAATTGTAAAATCTGCTGCTGTACATAATGTTTGCTACTTGACTGCATTTTCTGTTCCACTTTAATTTTACTGGTTTTGCTAAATATATTTTATATATTTTCCTTCCTGCTTCTTGTGATGGCAGAGTGCTTACATCTCTGGGGGGAAAAAGCGAAAAACAACCATGAGAAGGTTCTGGCCGGAAGATTCCATCAAGTTTGTATGTTAACATGTATCTCAGGGCATTTTTTGAGAGAACACCATGAATCGGGCACTATGGCAGAGTAAAATAAATGGGGATATTAGAACGTACAAAGATATGGATGCTAGTAATTCTGTTTCAGGGTGTCTTTTTTTTTTTTTTTTTTAAATCCTAAAATCCATTTAAGATGTCAATACTACTGGATGGTATTAAGTGACTCGTGTCACTTAAATAGAATATTTTTCAATCTGAAAAATTTCCTTTCAACCTGAAAACTCTCCCTGTGGTCCCTGAATTACTAACAAGGGATCCACAAAGCCTGGCAAAATAGGAAGAAGGTCACTGTGGTCATGTGTCACTGTAATATTTCTAAGCTTTGCATCTCCAATGGAGAAAGAGCTGGGAGTCCGTGAACTGTTTGAGGATGAAAACTTACTGCTGTACCTGAATTCAGAGAGCGACTGCAAGCTTTCAGAAGGCTGACTGGTAATCTGTCCTACTGCGTGACCCGGGAAGCTGTGAGGCAGCTGGCCCACAAACCCACCCCATGGGCCTCTCACACACCTTTTATTCTGCACCTGTAGAACAGCTCAGTATTGAAAGAGAAAGTGCAGGAAGCCTCTCTTGTGTAGATGAGATGTTGCAGGTTGTTATGCAAGTAGAGTATTTCCACTTCTGTTATTTTTTTCATTTTCAAAAGCAGGATTATGTTGATGTTAACTAGAAGTAATCCTTGTATGGTTGTAAAGCATTGTGTGCTTGGCTGCCTTCCAAATGAAACATGCGGTTGGTTTGCCAGCCCTAAAAACGTCAGCCTTTTCAGGGGAAAAAGCTATTAAAAAATTTCTTAGAATTAATGGCAACAGCGGAGGTTCTACAATTGGAATTTAATAATTTATTTTCATATTAGTTAAAACTGATGATACTTTTTCACATGGCTATGGTTTGTGTTACAGGAGGAGGACTCAAAAGACAGTCATTAGTATAGAAAAAATACAGTAGAATATAAAATAAAAAGAAAAAAAACTCAAAATACCAAACCACAAAAGCTTTATGAGTAACAGGTTGCTGTAACTTACCAGGATAGAACTGTGTTTTTATAAACTGTTTTGTGCTCTGTTCCTGATCTGGTTTGACACAGAGCACTAGGAAACTTATCAGTAAAGTAGCAGTGGTCTCTCTTGTCAGGTTCAAGTCTTGGAGGTGCCATTGTCATTGCTGTCAGTGAAAGGACAGGGGAGAGAGGTTTACTAGAAATACATTTCTGCAAAAAAGCTTAGGAAACAATAAAACCTAATTATTACTAAGAAATTTTTTGCAGGGTGCACTTCACAGGTGTTCCTGTATTTGTGGTTCATTTGTCCTCACATCCCACAGAAGTTGCATTGCAAGATGTAACCTGTTTTCCTTCCTACAGGGTCACTCCAGCTCCTCCTCAGCTTTCCTTCTAGAACCATCGTGTAACATGGATTCAAGCAAGGTCTTGAGCTGTCTTTGCTGCCAAGTAGTATCTGATATCATAACCTAAATAATGTCACCCTGCCTGCCCCCCTCCCAAGCCCCCACACAGCCACCCTGCCCTTACATGATCTCTGTGACCTCCCAGTGAGGGGGAATCACTCATCACGGCAGGGACTGTTGCTGTGGGAAATCTGGACTGAGATAAGTGTCTGCCCAGACTCCTCTATCCTTTCCTTAGCAGCCCCCTGCAGAACACTTGCCATGTAAAATGCTTTACAAGTGTGTACAAAATAGGAAAAAAATACTTCAGTGCCACTTCTTTGTAGAATCTAAGCCAGGTTTCTTACTGCACTCAGTAGATAACTGTCACTTCGCAGCAATGCGGGGAAACAGATTTGGGTTGTTTGGGGTTTTTTTTGTTTTTCTTTCACGTTACAGCAGCGGTGGTGCTGTGACTGGATCTGCATGCCTTCCATGAGGAACAGTCTTCTGTGCTGGTATAAAGACCTTTTTTGGCAAGACCTGTCAATGACAAAGGGGTAATAGAATGACAGTATGAAAATGCTTTTTACAAATTACCGGACTTTCTAAAGAAGGAATGAAAAACACAGTGGAGAAGACAGTTCTGAGGTTTTTGGGTTTGGGCGGTATTAAATGACAAGAGGTACCATACAAGTGTGTCGTGCCTGCACGTGAGAAACAGGGAGATGAGTTTCAATGCCCAAAGGGAGAGATGCAGTGAATTAACTGAAATGGGGAAGGTACTTTAAAATCTTCTATAGTCTTTTGAAACTATCTAAGGTGCAGCTCAACTTCTGTCTCTGTGCATGAAAACGAGCTTGTTTCAACTTGACAATGCATAATTCAAAGAGAAAAGCTGGTCAGCAGAGCCAGACAAAAACAGTTTTGGGGGTCAGGCGGGTACTGAAAGTTAAATGCTCGCAGCTTTTGAACATTTGGCACCTAACTCACGACACTGCTGTGATTTCAAGATCTAACGTCACTGGGTACCTATGGATGTCTAACGTGAGGTACATCCTACCTTAACACTTCTGTATCTGTGGTAATAACTTCTACAACTCACGCCCGCGTCCCCGCGACTGACCCCGCGGAAGGTGGGGAGGGATGAAAGGAGAACGCGCGAACCTGGCGAGAACCGGCGGCGGCGGATGGCTTTAAAGCCGCGCCAACCACCGCAGTGGTGAAAGGCTCAGAGGAAGGAAGGCCGCCCCCCGGCTGCCTGCGGAGCAGCACCACGGCCGCCAGCTGCGGCTCTGGCCCCGGCTCAAACGAGGCGCCGGCGCAGGCGGACACCCTCGGGAGCGGGTGAGTGGCCGGGAGGGGGCGGTAGGGGCAGCCGCCGGCGTTCCTCAGGCCGCCATCGCTGCGCGGCCTCCGCGCCGCCTCAACCCGACGGCCCTGTCAGCGGAGAGCGGGGGGGCGGTGCCTCGCCCTCCACCGCCACAGCGGCCGCTGCAGCCAATGGAAGAGCAGCCGTTGGGTCGCCGCCCCGCCCTCGGTGCATTTCCAGCCAATGAGCGCGGGGGCGGGAGGGGGAGACGTCCGCGTGCGCGGAGGGATCTGGCGGCCGGTGAGTGGAGCGAGGAGGCGGGTTCGTGTGGGGAGTGCTGAGACGCGGAGGGTGTCCGCGTGTCCGTCCGCCCGTTTTTCCTCCCCGTGAGGGCGGCCGGCGGGGCCTGGGCCCTGCTCTGCCCCCGGGACGGGCTTCCTGCAGCGGAGGGGCCGCGCCTGGTGCATGCGGGCCAGGGGTGGCTCCTCCCTGCGGGGTGGCGGCGGCGGGCTCGGCTCTGAGGGAACAGAGGGAACAGCCTTTTGGTCAGCCAGGGGAGGCGGGGGTTACGTGCCCACAGCGGCGGACCCTTAACGCGATAAAGTACAAGAGGGATCGCTTTCTTACTCAGAAACTGTCGGTGCCTCGTTATTAGCGTGTGGGAGGGTAACGGCGGTTCAAAGTCCAGCCTGCTCTCCCTCTCTGCTTAATAAAAAGGATGAGAATTGGGCTAAGAGCGTATCATACTTCTTCACGTAGCCACGCAGCCTCCAGGCCTTACTTTCTGAATCCAGTGCAGTTTCTACATATTTTGTGATCCTCTCAGAGTTTTTCTTACATAAACTTTTCTGTTTTACTCTGAAGCACTATGAAATTTTGTCACCAACAGGGATTCAGTAGCTCAGCTAGATACCATGTCAAGAACTGTCACCTTTTTATTTTTGTTTTTAACCGTGCCTCTCGCAGCCCACACATGTCGGAGCAGCTGATCTCTGCCCGTGCTGTTCGTGCCACTCGTGATTACAGGCTCTGTCACGGCCCTTCTCAGTTACTTCTCACACTCATTCTCACACTCATTCCCCTGGAAAAGCTATTCTAATTTTTGGATGGCTCACCACCCTTCTCGAACATTTTCTAGCTTTGTTATTTTCTCTGCTTTTTGAGATGAAGGGACCAGACCTACTGTTTACTTTTGTTCTGCATGTGCTGGTTCTAGTGAGATGTTCGAGTTCCGTAATCATCTTTGTAGCCCTCTGTCCACCCGCTGGCCACACTTTTCTTGATGCACCCCACGACGCCATTTGCCTTCTTGGCCACAAGGGCACATTGCTGGCTCATGGTCATCCCAAGTCTTTTTCCTCAGAGCTGCTCTCCAGCAGGTCAGCTCCCAACCTGTACTGGTGCAGGGGGTTATTTCCCCCCAGGTGCAGCACCCTACACTTGCCCTTGTTGAATTTCATGAGGGTCCTCTCTGCTCAACTCTCCAGCCTGTCCAGGTCTCACTGTATGGCCACACAGCCTTCTGGTATGTCAGCCACCCCTCCTAGTTTTGTGTCATCATCAGCAAACTTGCTGAGGGTACATTCCATCCCTTCATCCAGGACACTGATGAATATGTTGAACAGGACTGGCCCCAGTACTGACTCAGAGGAACACCACTTGTTACAGATCTCCAACTAGATTCTGTGCCATGACTCTCTGAGCTCTGTCTTTCAGTCAGTTTTCAATACACTTAACTGTCTATCCAACCCACACTTCCTAAGCTTACCTATGAGGATGGTGTGTGAGACAGTGTCAAAAGCCTTGCTGAAGTCAAGGTAGACAACATCTACCACCCTCCCCTCATCTATCCATCCAGTCATGCCATCGTAGAAGGCTCTCAGGTTAGTCAGACTTGACCTCCCCTTGGTGAATCCGTCTTGACTACTTCTGATAGCTTTCTTTTCCTCCAGATGCTTTGAGATGACACTCAGAATGAGCCGTTCCATCATCTTTCCAGAGATAGGGGTGAGGCTGACTGGCCTGTAGTTTCCCAGGTCTTCCTTCTTGCACTTTTTGAAGACTGGAGTGACATTGGTTTTCCTCCAGTCCTCGGGGCACCTCACATGTTCTCCAGGACCTTTCAAAGATGATAGGGAGCGGCCCAACAATGACTTCTGCCAGCTCCCTCAGCATTTGTGGGTGGGCACCTCACATGTTCTCCAGGACCTTTCAAAGATGATAGGGAGCGGCCCAACAATGACTTCTGCCAGCTCCCTCAGCATTTGTGGGTGCATCCTGTCAGGACCCATGGACCTGCAGATATACAGTTTACTTAACTGTTCCCTAACTTGATCTTCCTCAACCAGGGGGAAATCTTCCTTTATCCAGACTTTCTCTGTTTCCTCCAAAGTGCGGGACAGTAAAGACTGAAGCAAATTCAGCAGCTCCACCTTCTCTGCATCCTCTGTCCCCATGGCATCCGTCTCATTCAACAATGGGCCCGCATTTCTCTGGTTTTCCTTTTGCCTGCAGTATACTTGAAGAAACCCTTCTTGTTGACCTTAATATCCCTTGCCAGGTTTAATTCTGAGGAGGCCTTGGCTTTCCTTGTTTTATCCCTGCATACTCTAATGGTATTCTTGTAAAGTGGTCAGTCCCTTCTTCCACACACTGTAAACTTCCTTCTCCCACTTGAGCTTTTTCAGAAGCTCCCTGCTCAGCCAGGCAGATCTCCTGCTTCCCTTGCCTGATTTTTTTGCTCTTAGGGATGCACCTTGGAGAAACTGGTATTTGAGTAACAACCATCTTTCTTGAGCCCCCCTACCTTCCACAGCTCTAACCCATGGGATTTCTCCAAGTAGTTTCTTGAAGAGGTTGAAGTTAGCCCTCCTGAAATCCAAGGTTTCAATCCTACTTGTTGTTTTGTGCATACTACCCATGATCCTCTACTCTATCTTTTCATGATCACTGCAGCCAAGGCTGCCCCCAACCTTAATGTCCTCTGCCAGTCCTTCTTTGTCAGAACTAGGTCCAGTTTTCTGGACCTCCTTGTTGGCTCCTCCACCACCTGAGTCAAAAAGTTATGAACAATACACTGGAGGAACTTCCTGGACTGTACATGCCTGGCTGTGTAGCCTTCCCAGCAGATACCAGCGTGATTGAACTCCCCCATGAGAACCAAGGCCTGTGATTTTGAGGCCTCGTCAGCTTCTCCATCCTGATCAGGTGGCCTGTAATAAACACCCACAAGGGTGTCCCTCATTTTGGCCTGCCCCTTAATCCTCACCCACAAGCTCTAAACTGTCTCTTCATCTGCCCCCAGGGAGAGCTTTAGGAACAGCTCCTCACTCACTATCTGTTCCTTAACATAGCGGCTCCTCCCCTCCTTCCTCGCCTGGCCCTTCTGAACAGCTTGCAGCCCTTATAGCCACACTCCAGTCATAGGACTGGTCCCACAAAAGAAGGGCTCGTCCGGGATTTGAACCCGGGACCTCTCGCACCCTAAGCGAGAATCATACCCCTAGACCAACGAGCCAGTAAAGAGAAATGTGTTTGGTTGCCTTCAAGAGAGAAAAATTATCAGTATCATCCCTTGATCTGAACTTGTACAGCTTTCCTCTTGAACCGTTTGGACATTAACCAAACGTTCTCCTGACTTAATCCTGAAGTGGAGCTGTTCTTCAGTCCGTGGCAGGTGAGCTGCTTCGGGTCCACAAATCCTGCCTCGTCCCTCTTTCCCTGCTCCACAAAACCATGAGTACATCAGAAAACTGCTTCCGTTCTGCGTGCACATTTGTCAGTTCTGCTTTTCTGACGTCCCCCAGCTTGGCTGTCCTCTTCAAAGGCCGTTCCATTACATGGCACCTGCACCCCAAAAACTTGAGTTTTTGAGTTTCCCCTAGAACTTTCAGGGTTGTTTCTGGACTTGAGAGCAGGGAGCTTTCTGGGAGGGATAGGGATGGGCTCTCAGACAGTAAACTATCTACTCTCTTGGAGCCAAGGGAATTTACAAGTCCTGTTCACATAAACTCACTTACTTCAATAATTTTCTGATGTATGTATTGAGCATGAAAATCTCTTCATGCTGATGGCCTAAGTCAGGATATGTAGTCAATATATGTATGTTCAGAAAAATATCTTGAATTTTGAAGGTGTTCTTAGTAGATGTACATCAGATTTCTGCCATATGTTCTGAGTTACCCCTCCTTGCAACCTCACAGTTAATTACTGCTTGGTTCCTAAGGCCTTAATTTACAAACTGAAAGGAAGACTATTAAAAAATCAACTAAAAATATTTATAGAAAAAAGATGTCCAAGATGGCTAGGGCTATATGCCTTCTTATCTACTGAAACAATGGGTAATGCTTCATCAGCAGTTTTATCTGAGGGTTTCAGTTCATGGGCATGGAATTAGTCCTTGCAAATACTTATATGGGCTCACTGAACATAAAATCAGAAATTCAGCTTTTGACTTAAGAACTGCACGTTTGCATCTGTTTCAGTTTCCTAGTGTAAAAGCATAGATGTGTCCTTGCCTAGGGGATAACAGCAAACCAGATTACTACTTGTATGATGCACTTAATAAAAAAGAAAGTTGTGAGATGAGTGATTTTTAACTTCTAACATCTGTCCTAACAAAAAAAGTTCTTGTCTAGGGCCTAAAATGGATTGCAGCATTATGTATTGTTAGAGCATTCTTGTTAGAAACTGTATTTTCTTTGGGAACTTGCAGTCATTTTTCTAGTAAATAATTTAAATAGTGCATAATTTAATAATACAATTTTAAAGCATTTATGTTTTATTCAACCAAAAAACAGGGACAAAACTAGCCATTTTGTTTTTACTAGGTAGTTTGACTCCAGAATTCTCTTGTGTGAGACTAAGGGCATAGATGGGTCTTGGGGCTCTGAAGATCCCCTGTTTGGCCAACATGGCCTGAGAAGCCAGCGAGTCAGTGAACGGTACTATGGAAAAGCCAAAGGTTTTACTCTGATCACATGTAGGTGCAGACCATGTCAGTGGAATGGCAGAGTAATTATTCTAGTGAATACTGGGGAGTTATCACACAGTGGTAGGTTAATGGCACCGTTTTTCTAGCAAGCAGAGAGAGGCTGAGTTTTAGGAAATGTCCTGAAAGCTCTGCAAGGGTGAGCAGTAGGGAGGGAAGGGTGGAAGGGGAGAAGACCACAGATGCTGGAGTTCTTGTTGTAATGCAGAGAATAGGGGGAAGAAAAAGCACGGGCAGCTCTACTTCAAATTGTACTTAACTCTTGAGGTTGCGCGCAGCACACAGTCCTCTCAGTGACTTCTGCGCCTTGTTCCGCGTTCTGTGAAGTCATTGCATGTGGACTAGTTCATAAATCAGGCACAGACAAAATGGGTTTCTTGAGAGAAGTATCTTTTTCGTTTTCTCCACTACTTTCCACATGCTGAGTCCGTTTCCGTCACCTTCGTTCCACGGGGTGGCACTGTCTCTCCTGGGAAGGACACCAAGGCTGCAGCTTTCCCTCTGGGCTGCCCGGGGTGAGCAGGGTTCAGCGACACTCTGCAGCGTAACCCCATTCATAGAATCATAGCATCGTCTAGGTTGGAAGAGACCCTTGGGGTCATCCAGTCCAACCATCTACCCTACTCTACAAAGTCCTCCCCTACACCATGTCCCTTAGCACTGCATCTAAACGGCCCTTAAACACAGTCAGGGATGGTGACTCCACCACCTCCCTGGGCAGCCTGTTCCAATGCCCGACCACTCTTTCGGTGAAAAATTCTTTCCTAATGTTCAACCTCTCTACTTTTCTGTTAGTATATCCCCTGTCTTTTTGATACGAGTTATGTTCCGTGTTTTTACACAGAAAATACACATTTTTTTTGTGAAGTAGTGTTATCGTAGAAAAACATCTTCTTGAGTTTCTTGCTTACTTTTTTTTTGTTTGTAGAAGGTTTCTGGCATTCAGAGGAATCTTTTTCTGGTGTGGAAGTAAAAGCCAGCTGATGCTGATCCTAGAATACAAGTTTACTTAATTTTGAGTCAGAATTGAGTAACTTTTGAACCTGGGAAGGCATGACCAGTAGCTATCATTATTTCTGAGAGGGAAGGGAATAATTTCTGTGGGATTTTCCAAATCCACAAAAGGTTTTTTTCCTGCAAGCTGATACAAAAAAAGGTGTATGGATTCAGAAAATCAAGAACTGTAATGACAACTTCCCTGTAAGAATACAAACCAAATCTATGTTGTGCAGAAACGGAACAGTGTTGCTGCTGTTCCTGAATTCTCTCTGGAGACATGTTAATTCCAATCTGCCTCTTGCTGATTTTAGAGTTCGTAAGTAGAGTGGAATATGTTTTCTCTTGTTAGGAGGTTTCCCTAGTTAGCTGCTAGACTAAGTCTGCAGTGGTTGTTTAACCTCAGAAGAGTATGCCATTATTAAAAACATTCACCATTGAAAAAGGGTTAACTTAATTAATATTTTTTTTCTCTGGTTGACGTCTAGAAAAATGGATGATGATGATGATGACATTCCCCAGCTTTCATCCCATACGTTGGCTGCCCTCCAGGAGTTCTATTTGGAACAGCAGCAGAGAGAGGGCATAAAGACCTCCCAAGGGTTTAATCAATATTCCATTGGCTCAATAGAAGAAGACTGGGTAAGAAACTAAACTTCAGTGAGTGAAGCACAGTTAGAGGAGTAGCCTTTACTGACTTTCTTTTGTGGATGGATAATGAAATTAAATTTAAAAGGGGAACACTCAAGATGTTCTCAGAGCAGCAAAATCAAACGATTCATGGACAGTAACACTGTAGGGATATTTGCTTTAATATTAAATCTGGGTATAGTTGTCTGTTCTGCATGTGCGTGGGGGGTACAAAGTGAAATTACCTGAAGAGAAGCATCTGTCCCTCCTGGAAATTTTAATTCCAGCCTGGCATGAGAAGGTAGGGAAGATTCTTCCCTGAGTTTGAGACAAACAGTGTAACAAGATCAAGTGATTCTTTCATTTCACATCATCTTTCTTTGTGGTTTTTATTTCTTTGATTTTGTGGATGGCTGCCTTGCTTTTTTTCTTCTGACTGACTGATTTTTTATTTGTCTCTGGGTTGTTTGGTGTTTTTTTTTACTCTTTCTGATCTCTTTTGGTCTAGTACTTTGATCCTTCATTTCCTTCTATACTGTTCACTTTTCAAGTTCCTTTTTCCTCTTCTGCCAAAGTAACTCAACTTAAGAGCACATAACTATTGTGCATCTGCATGCTGCGTTTGAACTGATCTTGTCAGGGATTTTGCATCCCTTGGTTTCCCTGATACTGCAGTAAATGCTTTGGAAACACTCAGTGTAAGGTAAGCTGCCGGCTGCGTGTCGCTGGGTAACAGAAGTAAAAAGGCTATCAGGAAAACAGTCACCTTTCCAGCTTTGCTGTTTGTGGACTGAGAAGTTGCTATGCATTTTGGTTTTCTTCAAACATGACTCAGCACACCTAACTGTACGTAGCACAGTCAGAAGTTGTAATTGTGTATTATGTTTCTCAGCAACTGAGCCAGTTTTGGTACAGCGATGAAACTGCGTCATGCCTGGCTAACGAAGCGGTTGTGGCAGCTGGAAAAGGTGGCAGGTAGGTTTTAATAATTACATTGTAGATTTAACATGTATTTTCTATAATATTTTGTTTCTACTATGTAGACCAAGCATGCAGTTTAATTCATTACTCAAGGTATTTCATCTTCGTTCAACTGAAACATTGCAGAAATGCTTTACTGTTAATTAATAATTCATACTGACCATTTAGCATTTCACTGAATGTTGGAGGCTCTGCCTTGTAGAAGTTTACTCTGAATCTTTTTATTTTTTTGACAAATATAAAGCACTCCAGAGCATATTAATGACTTCTAATTCTTTTTTTCATACAATGTTTCTGCAGAACAGATGGAAAACCTTGGTTTTCTTCCTATTTTTGTAAGGAGTTGGTTTTAATTTTAAGTTTTCAAGTGTATTTCCTTGCTGTTCTAAAACAAGATTTTCTCTGTAGTTAAGCTTAAGGTCTTTGTGCAGCATGGAAGTTGAATAGGTAATAGCTTTAATACTTAAAACTCTGCTATCAAGTAATTATTGGTTAAAATGGAGGAAGAATAGCTTATGTTTTTGGGACTAATGTTTAAAATATTCTCCCAAAGCAGCCCCGAGGACTGCTATAGGATTTTGTTGTTGTTTTCCTTTTAAATTAATATTCTAAGTTACTGTCTCTTTTTCAGAATTGCATGTGTTAGTGCACCAAGTGTGTACCAGAAACTGAAAGAACAGGATGGTAAAGATTTTTCCGTGTGTATACTGGAGTACGACAGAAGGTTTTCTGTATATGGAGAAGAATTTATCTTCTATGATTACAACCAGCCTTTGAACTTACCTGAAAATCTCCTGCCACACAGTTTTGACATCGTAATAGCAGATCCACCCTATCTGTCTGAGGAATGTCTTCAAAAAACTGCAGAGACCATCAAATACTTAACAAAAGGAAAGATTCTGCTTTGCACAGGTATAACTAATAAAAATATTAGGTCACCATTAAGCATCATCTGTTTCTCTCACTCAAAAGACAAATTTACTCAAGTGAGAAAAATACTAACTTAGTAATACTAATTTATTATTAATTCAAGGAGGACTATGTATCCTAAGCTTTTCACTGGAATACTTTAGTTCCACCTTTATTTTAAACTGCAGAAGTTTTTTAGTAGTTAAAGTCAGTATTTTTTTCATATGGCATTACAGATTTTACTAAATTTTTGAAGTAAAATCATCAAAAATTGTAAAATCATCCTGCAAAGTCCCAGAAATATTTCTTTCTTGTAAGAGGGTTGCTCTCTGTAATTGCAATGATTGAATTCTGGGTATGACAAACACGGGTGCAACTTATAGTTAATGTCTTAGTGAATTGCTACACAAATTTGTGGTTTTTCTGAACATGTCAGTAGCTGCAGGATTTCAGGTGCCGCATACTGCTTAGCATCTAAGGTGAGCTAAGTAGAAACAACGATAAATAGGTTGAAATGGCCTTTACTCAGAGAAGAGGGGTGATTTTAGCTAAGTCTTGAAAACAAAAACAACAAAAAAGTCAACCTTTTTTTTCTTATTACATGTCCTTACTGGTAAACATAGAAATTGTGATGTGAATGAATGTATGAGGGAATTCTGCCACTGTGATTCAAGGAAGGAGGACTTAGGCACTGAAATGCAGCAGGAAGAATTAAAAACCATTGATAAGTGCAGTGAAACCAGAAAATTTACCAATTGTACTTGAAAGTCCTTCTCTATGAAGGTGCACTTGCTGGTTTAAGAAGTGATGAGTATCTGCCTTAGTCATGATGCTTCTAAAACTGTAGTCTTATCACAAGACATCTGAAGACATCCAGCAAACTTTTGCAAAAAAACCAAAGGGCAAAACCCCTCTATACATACAATTTGAGGGAAGTCAAGCAAACAGGCAAAATAATATATGGCCAAAGAAAGCCTACTTCTTTGATTGGGCGTGGCAGCCATGCACAAGGATGGTTCTCAGAATTTTTTTCCCTAAAATGGATAGGTGGTCCTTCAGTTTACAAAGTTTGAGAAATACTGCTCAAGGAAGTGATTTCTCATTGTGCAGCTGTAAATACCGCGCTGCGGTTTATTTAAGTGGTAGAGTATATGTAATCTGTTTGCATTTCTCATGCCTCCCTACCATGTAATTTCTTTGGCATATAACAAGAAGATTGAGTTCAAGTTTCTGTTTTCTATAAATGGGGCACTGATCTTACTCTCTACCTATTTTTATGAAACTTCATTTTCTTGGGGCGTCTTCCATTCTTTCAGATTTATTTTACATTTCCCAATAGATTCAGTTGTTAAAGAGGGCTGACAGTGTAGCTGCTTTAGGCATTGCTTCCTTAAAAAAGGCAGGCTCTCTATATATGCATTTGGGAGAAGCTATTAAAAAAGCCAAAACATTGTTACTGTTTTTCTCACTGAGTCCTAATTATTTTTGCTGCAGGTGCGATCATGGAGGAACAGGCAGCAAAGCATCTTGGTGTGAAGATATGCAAGTTTATTCCGAAACACTCACGAAATCTAGCCAATGAGTTTCGATGTTATGTGAATTATGCTTCTGGACTGGACTGATTCTCCTAAGAAGATCTACAACTTTTTCAGTCCAGCTCCTTTCCGTTTTTTATCAGTGACTCCACATTTCTCAATGCTGAAATATTCAGCTCCAAGTACTGATTTCTGGGCTAACTTTAATCAACATGGTGTGATAGCCTCTATCTTTTAAATGTGTAAGCATTTGCAGTTACGGTGTTTTGTATCTCACCTATTAGGTAAATGGGGACCAAACAATGCAGGTGCTGGATAATGGGAACTTCTCTGTCAGAGTTTCATTCTAGATGTTATTTTTTACCATTCAAGGACTCTTCTTTGACCTCTCTGAAGTCATTTTACCTGGTTGGTTCATAACAACACATAGGTGCTTGTCTCACAGACATCAGAATTGTCATTGCATCAGAACTGATGAGTTGGTAGCTAGTGGATGGTTGAAAGAGCACGAGTGATGGTCTCCTTTCAGTCTTGAGAGATGCTCCCTTAGTATTGTTCTAAAAGTGTCATGTTTTCAGAGTCATTATCCAGCAGGCTGATGTTTTCATAAAGGATAACTAGAAGAGAAAATAGGGGAGGCCTCTGCAGTTGCTTTTAATAATAATCAGAACTACCTCCCAGTTGCCAAGTAAGATAAGACTTGCTATCCACTCTTGTTGCCAGACTGGCTTTTTAAAAACTTGTGGTTATTAGTTCACTTTTTCTCTAAAGCCTTATCACAAACCCAGACTTCCTTTTTGTAAAAGATCCATTTTGTCATTGCTTACCATCATATAAACTTGTGTATGTATGTATGCTGTACTAGAGAAAAAGTAACGTAAGTTAAATGTCTCTTTGCAGAAGTACAGGGCATTTATTTTGTGATGCTTATATGTTAATGCAACAGAAAATCACGAGCTTTTAAAAAAACACAAACTGGGCTTTTGTATTTATTATTTAAGCTAATCTCCAGAGGTGGTATAAACCTGATGTCTCCTTGAAAAAAGCACAATAATGATTTCCCCATTGGAGAGATCTTTACTTTCATTAATAATCCTATACATTAGAGAGGCCAAATCACCTGAAATACGAAGTAATTACTGAATAAGAATGCAACACATTGGCCATCCTTGCACTATGCTTCAGACTGTTCATGGGTTCTCACTTTGAGTTACTCTTACTGTTGGTTATGAGATACTTCTGTAGTAATGTGACCCATACATGTTAGTCCTTTACATCTTGAATCATAAGGGATCTGATTAAATATAGTGCCTGCTTTTTAAGAGATTTCACTATCAAGCTAAAGATGATACACAGGTATGTCAAGGTTGTAGTTAGAAGAACAGTCCTTTTCTTCCAACTGCCTAGTTTTATCTTTGCCTCCTATTCCACAGACAACAGCACAGCAGTAGAGCAGAAGTATCTTAGAAATAATTGAATATTACAAGGCCACTGAAGTATAATATAATGTATTGATAAGCTCCCACTGCTTCTAACAGACAAAGGTCACATCTTATATTAAAGGTTTGGGCTATAATTCAATCAATTTCAAAGTAGATGATACATTAGAAAAACTTTCCTTTGGGATAGTAGACATTTTTGGTAGCTGAGAGTTTTTCAAGCCACTTTTGACTAACCTTTGACTGCATTACTAATGTATTTTTGTGTGAAAGCTGGTTCAGAAATTCCAAGGCACTCATCAGTTTTATCAACTATAAATATACTATACAAAACATAAATACTTGTCTTTATGTGCCATGCTTATATATTGGGATTGTATAAAAGGCTAACAGAAATGCTTCATCTACAAAACGAAGCACCTAACATGAAGTATTAAGGAATTTATTTTGTGGTGGGGATAAACCTGATTAAGGTTGTGAGACGAGAGTTTTAATAAGATGGATAATACTCATGTTTCTGTGCATTTCTGCTGTTTGGATGCAGATCTTCCCATCTGGTGGAGTAAACAACTGAGCAGGAATAACGCAGATGGAACATAATCCTCTCGCAGTGCTTGGAGAATCGTGCTTCCTGAGCTGGACACAACACTGGGTCATAAATACCCATCCAAGCCACTGTTGCTCTGCTTCCTCCCTCCTCTCTCACCATACAGTTTTCATGAGTTTCACAATACCAATTTTGTTGCTCTTTCACATGCCTTGGTTTCTATCAGACTGGTAATAGGTGGTGTTAAAACGTGAGGAAGAGCTCACAGGGAGAATGGAGACTGGGCTCTTCTGACAGTCTCTCTGAGCCCACAGCTGACACAGTTTTGCCTTTCTAACCAGAAGCCATCCTTGCTGCTGAGCCCAATAAAGCCAGAATCCCCTCCAAAAATGCTGCCCACAGGTGACAAACAGCTGGGTTTAGCTGTTCTCCAGGTGGCTACACCATTACTTTTATATGGCCTGTTTCAAAATAAAGCAAACCAGAATGTTAAATGCATAGGTATTGGCACAAATCTGTACTTCACAGTTGTAAACTGTTTTATGTTTATTACCCCAAGGTCTTGCACAGCAAGCAGATGGAGACAATGAAGTAATTCCTGAAACTTTATTTTTAACTACACAGAGACTTCAAGTGGGACAGGTATGATTGCCAGAGGTGATGATATTCTTCCCCCACCACCCACCTAAATTAGACCGCATCATTCAAATACAAGCTTCACCTGTGTTGCTGCTTTGCTATTAATTCCTTCAGTTGTCTGCTTAGTTTTGGTAAATGTGTGTTGTTGGGCTCTCTATCTCAGAATTAAAATACAACTTTGCTAACCTCACCAGACACCTTTCTTAAAAAAAAATAGAAGTACAACATTCAGTTGTACCAAGAAATTCAATTCACCAAGAAAATAACTGCTACTTCTCACATGTAGGTCAGATGGCTTTGAAAAGAGGCACTGTGAAGATGAACGATTATGAAAATGAGGGTACACGAAAATCTGTGTAGATGCACTCAACAGACCAGCCCGTTGTCCACCAGCTTCTCTCTGAAAAGCCTGGTGAGCGCAGGCAGCTGCCCAAGCAGAGCCTGACTAGTGGCATTCACAGCCTTCATCAATGATAGGAGGTAAACTATTTTTGTCATACTTGTTTCCAAGAAAGTAGCTGTGTTTCTGAGAAGGCTTCAAGTCACAAAAACTCGTAGTGAATTTGGACTTTGTGCCATCACAGTAACTTTTAATATTATGTGACAGCAAAATCTTTATTTTCTGAAATAGGATTATTGAAAAACTCTTCAGTGTCAAGTAGATTGGCTTGCTTTATTGTGGATGTTTCATGGATGGATTTTCTATTGGAACAGCCTGTGGTGAAGTGTTACCACCATGCTACTTTTCCAGTGGCATTTATGAGTGCAGAGGGGTATGTGCTACAGCTTCTTGACTGCCCCAGGCGCTGTGCAGCAGCAGGACGTCTCAGTGCCCTGCTGTCGGTATAAACTGACACTTGGCAGAGTAAACCTGGGGTCTTGTGCACAGACTGATGGCTATAGGCGGAAAAGAATATACTGCAGCTGCCTGCACCTCACCCCAGATGACAAATGAAACATTTCTAGAAATGCTCAGCTTGACGTTGCACAGTTAGTCGATCTCTGTACCCCACAATTGTCTTCATGCCTCTGCCCGTGTCCCTCCGTACCAGAGCAAGGGGGAAGTACCCGATGGTTGTTTTTGCCACTCTCCCTTGGTGACCTGCAGGGCACAGCCCCATCCCCATGCAGTGAGGTGGGAACCAGGGCAACTGGGTTCAGGTTCCAGAAGCCCCTCGTCAGGCAGCATCAGAGCTGTTGCCTCCTTACACAAGAGTAGAGTGAAAACGAGTGGTAGCTCATGCCACTACTCAGCAAAACAGGTAGGATTAACTAGTTCTCCCTCGTGTGCCCTAGTTCAGGTAGTTATGGCTGTTCCCTAATCCCAGTGAGACTGACGAGCGTTTTTACTTTCTGAGCACATCACAGCCTTTTTCCCTTTTCCCCTGGCTGCTTTCATGTTCATGTTTCCCCACACGATTCATGTTTACTTGCAGCTGTGGACCCCTGCCTATTCAAACAAACACCTTCATGTAATGACTGGTTAGTAAACCAAAACTAGCATCTCAAGCTTTTTCTCAGCCTTCCTGAATGATACGAATTTTCCATCCTATCTTAAGTGATAATACAGAGGAGAAAATAATCTCTTTACCAAGGATATTGTTCTGCCTTTTGTGGCTCCTAATGTATTCCAGGGACAACCTCATTGAAGGAAAAGATTTTCCTGGCACAACAAAAATTTTCTCAAATCAGCCGCAGCTGCCAGATAGTTTCAGCTTTGAATTGTTTGCATTTATTGGGCCTGGAGTTGGTTCAATGAGGCATTTCATGTCTGCCTTGTGTCAACAGTTTGTGAGCCTTGAAGCAACTCCAATGAACCCTCCCTCCCCCCCATGCAAATTAAAGGCAAGGCTGCAGCAGCTGTAAGCAGAGGGCTAGAAGCTGGAAAATGTCACACTACAGTTGAAGTGAAACTGATATAAATCCATGATGTGATGATCTCTTAAAAAAAAAATCCAAACAAACTCTAACTACATTTAGTACTCAACCTTTTCCACATGAGTAATGTGGAGAGGGTTTATAAATGGAAGGATATTTTGAAGGTTAACAAATGTTTGTGTAGCTAATAGTTCTTGATGTTAAGTACTACAAACAGTTGTTCACTAACAAATTGTCATCAAACAGTTGTTCACGTTAAAACATAAACATAGCTTTTAAGAGACACCTAACTGGAAAGCTGGACCAGGAAGCAAACTGGCTCAGCTAAAAAATCTGTCACAGAAGAGGGTGAGGATTAAAAAAGGAAAATGGGCTTCTGAATGAGATAACATGAGGTTGCCTGTAACTACAGGAAGCTTTCTGCACTTGTTGCAGTATGACAAGAAGGAGGTCGCCAACATACATCATCTACTGATCCACTGAGGTTTTGCAGTTTGCTAACACTTTCCTTTCAGTCATCCAATTCCTGAAGCTATATGTAAGTTAAAGCATCTGTTTTTCTGGATTGGCAAAACCGATTGTGTTCCATTTACCTGATCTTAGCCTGTAACTCCCAGGAATTCCCAGAATATGCTCTAGTTACTTGAAAACCTCAAACTGACTCCATGATTTATGCCTGTGGGACAAGAGAGTTGCAACAAAAAGTGAGATTTTTTTTTTTCTCCACATCATGCAAATAAATCCATGTGCTCTAGTAACTAATTTGTTGCAGACAAATTTGTACAACAAAAGTGTGTGGGCAGACAGATGAGTTTTGCTGGAGGGCAGTGTTTAGCCAGAGCTTCAGCTGGTAGCCCTTCTTGGTATTCACTAAAGGGTAAGGGCCATGTGGTTTGGGATTTTATGTTGTTGTTGGGGTTTTTTACTGCCTTTTACTGTGAAGACTTTGCTTTCTGTGCTGTGGAGCCTGAAGGTACAACCTCACCCCATCTGAAGTGTGTGTGTGGAGAAAAATCCCCACAATTTAACAGTGAAACTGTAAGATCTTGGGCTGCTGAAGCATCATCCAATGCAGTGCTTCGCCCTTTTTTTGGGTCTGCTTCCCTTTTGAGCACCTCTGTCTTTGATTACCATTTCCCTCTTCCCAGAGGGTGAGAAGTTCTTCCACATTAGGAGGAAGGAAAAGTGGCTGTAACTGCTGCAAGTATTTACATTCCCCAGGGAACAGGTAACTACCTGTAATTGCTGGCAGCAGCTAGGCAATTAGCTGTTCTGTGACTAGTATCAACACTTGATGACCTTCTTTGAACCTTCCTTTGAGAATCCCCTTGAGAAAGAAGCATCACAATTTGAGGAAACACAGATCTGAAAACAAGTGGAACTGTGGAAAAGCATCTGCACAAGAAACACGGTTATAAACTTCAATATGATGTTGTGATGGGAATCTTTTATTGGTTTCTGGAGTTCTTAAAGATGTTTTAGGCTTTGTAAGAAGCTATACAGATTGCACTATAAAAATACTGTTATACTAGACTGAGTCATAAAGAGCACAGTCAATAATTATGCACCAAGACAAGGAGTTGTCATATGATTTTCATTCTCTATTTAACTTGTTAATTCTGCTTAGCTCATAGTCTTTCCATTCTTCATCCAATGACGCTCCAAAAGGAGCATGTGTTTGTGTAGCATAGGGACTTCATTCACTATGGATTAAGTAAATTTTTGAGATTCTTGATGCACCAAATACATTGCTGCATGTTGTGTTCATTCTTTTTTGTAATGATATTGCAGTCATGATCCTTCAACTGTACAAGCAATTCTCTGCTGTTCATTCAGAGACTTACCGACTTCGGTAATTGTGGCCCTCTGAGGAGTCATGGTCATGCAAGGTATCCCTGGTTATTCCTGATTATCATTCACTAGACTCAGTCAACCTTCAGTTCCTTGTTCTGGAAATGCAAGTTTTTGTTTGTTCTGGAAATGCAAGCTTTTGTTTATCTGGGGTTTCTGTTTAGAGCTTGCCATCAAGTTCCTATCAGCTGAAAAGATGGAAGAGTGCTCTTCCGCAGGCTAGCATTTTTTGCAGCTGATTGTCTGTTATGTGTAGCATAGGGAAAAATAAGTAACAATTAGTTATAATAATTAATTGTATAAATCGGTTGGATTTTAAAACTTTGGATTGGCTGGGACAACCAGTGACCTCTGTAGCATCTAGGAGTTAAGACCCAGCCTGTTTACTCCTTTCCTAATATGGAAAAGATTTTGTCTTTTCAACTGTACAGAATACAGTTTTGTCACAAGGAACAGTTAAGCAATTAATGATGAATGACATCTAATACAGAATTCTTGGGTCCCAAACTGCATTTTTTCTAATTGATATTTTCTGTGCAATTAGACTTAGTCCACATCAGTTTTACAATATTCTAGCACGTTTTTTCTCAACACTTTTGTCCCTGTAGCAATTTGGCAAGTTTAAAAATAGCAAACTCATAGAATATTGTTTCATGAATAACTCAAACTCAGCAAAGGTTTCCTTGCTGTAGCATACAAATAGCAAAGATGTAACAGCCAGGAACAGTGCTTGGGGTTGAGATATATGATATAAGGGAAGGCTCTCCCAGCATGAGAAGTTATCCTTTTAACTGCTGATCTGGCACATGTACGGCAGCTATGTGGTTTCTATATGAGTATTTAAAAGTAGAGTATAAAAGACTCCTTAAAAATATCAACAACCAGTAGTCTGCTATAGTAATAGCTACTATGTCTTACAGTTGCATCATCTTCTAAAATGTACTGTGAATAAGCAAGGATAAAATGTTCTGCTCTAAGGGGAAAAAAAAAAGCTACATTGGAATTTGTAACAAATACTTACATGAACTAAAGAAGTTCTTAGTATGAATTGTCATCTCTAATGATCTGAGCAAATGGACAAAAGTTTCAATCTTACAACTGAAATAACTGCAAGAGGGTAAGTTGATGTGTTTGTTTGCTGCTGTGGTGCAGCTTCCTGAGGTGGTGAAACAACGATGGGAAGCCAATACTGTTAACAAGACTCTTTATATATTCTTCATTCTGATGATGGCTTGTTTTGGCTTACCAGCAACTTCATTTCTTGCTTATCTATGCTGGAATTTACGCTTTCAGCCTCTTTTTCTTGCTCAGGTACACAAGTGCAGCCCACCGGGATAGTGACATAATCTTCTGTGTAGACGTAGCGGCCCCCAGCACAGGAGGACGTGCGGCGGAGGATGACTGTGGGCATGTACACGGGGGTGCTGCGGAAGTGGAAGTTCTCCTCGCCAAAGATCCCCATGAGGCAGCCTTTGCACAGACAGTACGCTTCAGGAATGTACTTAGGATATCTTGTGGGATCATACGAAATTCTGTAAGGAAGCAAATAATAAAGACTCATTAGTATCTCTAAAAATAGATATATTCATCTGGAAAACATTATTATAATGTGATTTGACCATAAACATTGATATGTTTTTGTTTTCTTTGCCAGGAAAAATAGCTGTACCTGTTGCTGTCTGGCTTCTTATTTGTAAAGTGCAAAGAAAAAACATGAACAACTTATAGACCTGATTAGGTCCTACAGTGCACACTGAAGTATCAAGTGACTGGCTTTCTAAAATGGGAGATTCAGGGGATTAGGCAGACTAAGTTTTGCATTTTTGACTGAATTGGTAAAAAAAGCATTAAAAAGGACACCTGAGAATTTCCAAACTTTTGATCTGCCTTGAGTTCTTAAAAAATTGGTACAAATTCTTTTTAACATTGTTATTGTTGAAGGTATGACATGATGTTTCAAAATTTTATAATTTAAATAGAATTAAATTGTACTATTATTTCTGCAATAGTTTTTGCTCCCTAGTGTACTTGGGGTTATAAAGATGCCTCCCTCTTGAAAGCAGAACTCCGTATTTCTTTCTCTAATTCACTTCCACTGACTCTTCCTCTAACCAGAGAAGAGTAACATTTGCATGCCCACACTGAGATAAACTGCAAAGTTAATGTTTTTTCTGCCCTCTCCTACTACATTTTGAAGTAGTGTTGCCCTGAAGCTTCTCTTTTGTGTTGTCTGATCCTTTCTTATTGCTTATTAATGTCCTGTCTTTGGAAATTCCTGATTAGCAGGAGCTGGAAAGCTTGTAACCTAAGTACAGCTTGGACCAACAAAGTCCAAGTTCCAACATTCCTCTCTGGATGTTGCTGGCTGCAGAAACAGAGATGTGATACTATGGTCTCAAGTCATACAGATCCTGGCTGACCTACAGCCATTGTTTTTATCAAAGACAGTAAAGGCTGATAAAGTCTGCTTGTTTTTTTCTGAAATAAAAGACTAAGTACACAGCGCAGTAGGTGTACTGGAGTGTGTAGTCACCCTGCTTATTGTGGTGGTGATGTATTTGTTGCTTTGTTCTTTACTCACTTTTCCTGTTTATACTGGAAGTAATTGCTGAGCATGGCTGTAATTTGAACATAATTCAACTGTGTGTCATTATTCTAGAAAAAACGTTTGTACCTCCAGAAAAAGAGGATTTTTTAATATGTTTAATTCCTATGCCAGCTGTCCTCTTTGTACCTGTAAGCTTCCTCCCAACCACCTTCTGCTCTCACGCTCTTACAAAACTTGCCCTGCTTCAGCACTGGCTGCACGTCCAGCGGGAGAGGCATCATGGCTCTCCTTGGCTGGAGAAATGTTCAGCCCAGAGCACTGCCAGCTGCTCTCCATGCTCCTCCCGCAGAGCCCGTCCCCGTTCAGGAGGATGCTGACCTCACATATGTTATCAGAAGCAATTACCCACCTCTCAGCCAACAGAAAACCCTTTTCTGCCCTTTCCCCCTGCTCCTCCTTTCACACAGCAGATGGTTAGACCTACACAGTATCATGCTGGTTGTTACCGGCACGCAGAAAACATGAAGACACATTGAGAGGCCACCTAGTCAAAATGCCTCCAAGAGGCAAGCTCAGGTGTAGTTGCCTGTGTTTGTCCAGCCTGTTCTTATAAACCTCCAGAAAAGATCCCCAGCCTGCCCAGAGGCTCTGTTGCACTATCTCATCACTTCTTCACTTGGTAAGTTTTCCTAACAGTGAATCAGAGCATTTTCTTCTTGCAAACCACATCAATCATTTCACGTGCTTGGATGGGAAATTACAGCAGCTGAGCCTAAAACTAACAGCCAAGGATTTGATATGAGAAAGAATGTTCAAGCCTGTAATGTTTACTGTGATGTGAAGTGCTGCAAAAACAGTAAAAGTTCCTACACTGTGTTTTAAACCATCCTCTATTGGGATCAGGATAGGACCACCACACAGTAGATGAAGGGGGGCAACTACATAAGAAAAATGAATAAATTAAATACCTATCATTAATATAATTATGTATGAAGTGATACAAACTTAGTATACAATGTCACCCTTCTTGCAGCAGTTGTCAAAATAACGAATTTTGAAAAACACAATGGACTTTAAGCGATTCCTAAATTGTGTTTCCTGGAACCCAGTTCCTTGGGTATGAAGCATTAGCCTTTTATCTTTTCAGGTGGTCTCTGAGATGAGGTTTCAGCTGAGGAAGAGACAGTGTAAGTCTGCCTTGAGCTGTGATTACACAGTAACTGCTAGTCAACAAAATCTGCACATGCCAAAAGAGGCAGCCTGGCTCTCCCTCTTGCCTCCGCCCTTGGGTTGATGCTAATGTTATTCTGGTCAGAGGATGGTTCAGGGAATTCATCCAGCTGAAAAGCAACCTCATCAAAAGCTGGATTTTGGTCCTTCAGCTGTCTTGCCACATACTCACAGAGCCTTACACAAATAAGCCAGCGTGAACAAACAGCTACAGATGGAGGCAGAAGGGAGCTGCCCTTTTCAGAGGAAGCAACACCCATTTATCAGGTTAAACCAAATCTGGAATCACAGCTTTAGCCAAGCACAAACTTGATTATTCTATCATGAAAGAAAAGAGACTTTATCTTTTTTCCCAATGGCCATATAATCTGGATTGTCTTTTTAAGGAATTTGTTTTCCTCACTGAAAAATCTGACCAGTTCTCTAAAAGCCAGACATCTGTGATGTTGCAGATACTTTTTGCAAAGCTTCTCTGTCCCATTTAAATTGCTTACTTTCCCCAGGAAATACCTTCATGTTACAGGATCTCACACCAATGTGAAATAAAATGTCTGGTAGCCAGCAGAAGGGAAAAAAGTGGAATACAGGCTTTTCTCCTGTGATACATTCCCATTTCAAACTCAAGTGTGAATAATTTCAGTGGTGGATTGTTAAACACACCATATGTCAAGTCACTGGTATTTCCTCTTCTGTATTATCTCTAGCACCTGGTTTATGATGTTACTGGAAAGCATGAACATGCTTGTGGATGCAAACATTAGAGTATTCACTAATAACAAGAGAACACTGTCACTGGAATCATGGTCTACAACAAACTTCCCCTCCAAATTCCCATGTGGCAAAAGTCAGGTATAAATGAAGCTTTTTGGGGAAGGGTGGTGTGGTTTTCTACTTTCTATAGAAAAAAATCTTGTATTGCTAAGTTTGCTGTAGATACGTCTACTCCATCATGTGAGAATTCAAAGAAATCAGACAGGATCCAGACCCACAGATGGATCTAAAATATAGATATTTTTTTGCATCCAAATTGGAACTTCAAGGCTGAAAACTCTTAAGTAATGCCTCCTGAAATTAAATGTGGAACTCAAATGTCACTAAACTTTGGAGTCATATCCAAGGTTCTGCATCTTCAGCTCAAACCTGTTAAGAAAGGCCATATAACTAAAGCCTTATTTTCATCTTTCTAGGCAACACAGCCTGATTTGGGTCTGAACTGCCAATGAACACCAGTAACCTAGCTATGCAAATGCAGTTGTATGCCCTGTTCCTTCTGTTTGATAGAATCAGAATGGTTTAGGTTGGAAAGGACCTTAAAAACCATCTAGTTGCAACCCCCCCCCCCTGCCATGGGCAGGCACACCTTCCACTAGACCAGTTTGCTCAAAGCCCCATCCAACCTGGCCTTGAACACTTCCAAGGATAGGGCCTCAGCGACTTCCCTGGGTAACCTGTTCCAATGTCTCACCACAACCACTGTAAAAAATTTCGTCCCGATATCTAATCTAAACCTACCCTACCCTCTCCCAGTTTGAAACCATTACCTCTCGTCCTATCACTACATGACCTTGTAAAATGTTCCTCTCCGGCCTTCTTGTAGGCCCCCTTCAGATACTGAGAAGCTACTATAAGGTCTCCCTGGAGCTTTCTCTTCTCCAGGCTGAACAACCCCAACTCTCTCAGCCTGTCCTCATAGGCGAGATGACGTAATCACTCTGCACGTGATGATAACCGCCTCAGTTGCTGTAGTTTGATGCATCTCCATTACTCCAAGCACTGCAAGTCATGTTTTTACATCTTCTCCTAGAACAGGGCAAACATGTTTGGTCAGGTTAATTAACTTGATAAATTACATACTCCAAGTTCCCACTGACTCTCTCCTGTAAGTGGTGAAAGATGCACCCAGCTGGGGTGGACACAACAGGAGGAGCTGGGATGAGTGGCGGAGAACCAGAAAAGCGCAAGTATCCGCTGGCACCCAAGCGTCCCCTGCATCCTTGTGTCATTTGCTGGGGCCACTGGTGCGAACCAGACAGCTCAGTGATTTTGGGGAGGGTTGCCCTTGTCCTGTGCACTCAGGTTACTGGCGTGCAGGCTAGCTCTGCCCAGCCAGCACTCTGATTTACAGATGACAGGAGCAGTGAGCTATGCCGGGCTGCTGTGTTTCCATCTGCTGGAACAAGAAGCAGGTTTGTACTGAACTGGAACTGCTAATGAAGTGTGACTAGTTCTAGGCTGCTTTTCCTTATGACCCTACGAGTGCTTTGAGAGGTCCCAGTGAAAAACAAACTTCCTGCCATTTATGTACTAAGCCTGGAAACTCGAGAGAAAAGTTTCTGTCAGAAGTAAAACTCTTGCAAAGACTTAATCTGTCTCGTCCTGTACTGCTACTTTCACATGTAGTATTTTTAATAATATTATCACTTCATAGTTTCCAAGCTTCTAAATCCAGTGGGTCAGATGCTGTGCTGGGGCAGGCGGACACAGCTGCCTCTTCAGAAAATCACTGTTAGCACTAGGCCAACAGCTGGATGTTATCAGAAGTCTAATAAGCAGATCATCATCCCTTTACTTCGCACTCTGAAATACTTACAGGATTAAGAGCTAACAACTTTTTTTTCCCCTCTTGGCAAGGCACTTATATAGCAGGTGTTCTTTTGTTCACATTATGCTTAGTTTGTGTTATACACAGGTAGTAAGTACAGAGTTTGCATAAAATAGCCTAGTGCTAACAGTGATTTTCTAAAGAGTTGTATGAACATGTACTCAAATAAAAGGGACAGCAGTTCTGCGTCCCCTTGTATTTTTTGCCTTGGCTGCATCTTTGGGATATGCACACTGTGCCCCATGGTAATACTAAATCTTGGAAAATGTCTTGGATAAGGTTCTTGAAAATCATTCGAGTATTATTTAAAGGAAAGTCCTCTTGTATGGCTGTTTTTCAAAAGCACTGCAGAAAAGCTTGGCTTTTACCAGTAAGGACAGACTTGCCTGTATTAGTTTTATTAGGATTTTATGTAGATGAGCACTAAACCAGGGATGCTTATAAACTGAAACTGGTTTTTGAAAAGCAGAAAAAGCAAGCTGGGCAATATTTGAGAGAGGGACTAGCTAACATGGGATTGCACTATCAGATCAATGCTGACAAGAAAAGTTAACGCTGTGTAAGTGAACCCTTAGTAAATGCAGGATTAGGGCCTTGAGACAGACAAAGAAGCCATGACTTCTTGAATACATATAAAGAATTTTTGCTAAATTCATGCATAAGTGTGTATGCAGAAGAATCTGAACATATTCCTGCAAACTAGCTATGAATGCTATTATAGCCTTAAGACAACTGAGAATAAAAATAGAGCTGATATATAAAGCTGATTAACAAATGGCACCCATGCCCTGCAGCACCATGAATGGAATCACAGATCAACACTACCTGTAAATGTGCCGCTGACTTCAGTGGGATCAGATTTTTCAGCCATTGCTCTGAGCTTTATGATCAGCCCCTGCAAACGTTTAGGCATGCACTTAAAATTAATCCTTTTTCTAATGGCTCTTGTCCAAGAGCAACTTGTGCATGCATCTCTGGAGCAGAGCTTCCATTGGTAAAGATTCACCATGCTTATGGCTTCTGTGAATCTTAACCAGCAGCACCCATCCCGTGGTGTCAGCAGTGGTCCACAGACAACCCAGATCACTAATTCTTGTGAAGCAAGTGCAAAGCATAGCGGTAGCCAAGGACCATACCCATGCCAGTAACTCCTTGTAGAAGGAGGCTTTCTGGATTTCATTGACTGCCCGTGTAATACTGCTAAAAAGGACAAGCAGCTCCTGTATAGATGTCACAAACTGGCACATAGTCAGCCTGATGATTTCAAGGCATGATGACTTCACGGCAGAGTTTCTGCTGCTGGCTCTACTTTCTAAAAAAACCTGGACAGTTCTTAGACTTCCTTAAGTGCTGAGCAAATCCAGTATACTTGAGATTTCACTCCACTCAACTGACTTCAGGGAACTCTGATGTCTCTTTATAGCTCTGCAAAGAGCGATTTGTGTGATTAAACTTTGTGCCCTGAGTTATATACTGATCTCCTGTGGCCTTCAGGATGGAATTTCAGTATCAGGCAGATGAACTAACATTTTTTCCCCTAACTTTTGCCTCAGATACCAACTGTTGGTTGCTGCCAGCAGCAGGATCGTAGACCAGATGGATCTGTGGTGCAATCCATGTGCAACTCCTGTATCTCTGGGTTGTAGCAAGCCAAAAATGATGTAAGTCTTGATTTTTGTATAACCAAATTAAAGATCAAGTAATAGAAAATAAATAGTAAGCAGAGAACAAAGACAAGGAAACAAGCCACGCAAGAATTATCTGTACTTTGAGCCAGTCAAACCTAATTCTTCCACACTAAACAGAATGACAAACTTAGATATATGCAATGCAGTAGAGTGAATGTTATACACAGACCTCTAAGTAATATATTTGATTCTTTCTCACAAACGCTGATATGAAAAAAATTCAGTTGACTTGAACTGCATGGTCACGTGAGCAGAAGAATTAAAAGAAGCAGCATTAAACAGCTGGGAACAGGTGCCTAGGGAGATACGCAGGGGAAGGTAAGTAGAACCAGACTTAATATCTTTATTATTAATGACCTGGAATAGGGAGTATAAACAGTATGTTAATGAAATCTGCAGATGGTAACAATGGGAACCGCTGCAACACCAATGAAGACAGAGGAACAGCACAAGGTATCTCAGACATTAAAATGCAGGTCAAAAAGAAAAAAGACCCTTTGTGCACAGAGCAGAAATCAATTGCTCTGTAACTCTTTAGGGGCAGAAAAGAAGTTGCACAGCGAGATGCTTGTGGGACACGCTGAAATGGGGCAGGAATCTTGAGTCAAGTTTCAAACACTGAAATTCATGTTTTGAGGGGTGTCCTATCAGGGTGTGCAAGAGGGGGGTGCCTACAGTGAATTAATTTCTGGGCATTCACTACTACAAGAACTCTGGTGATTCAAAGGCAGTTCAGGACACAGCAATGAATCTTGGCAAGACGAGTAAAGGGGAGCAACTCATGAGGAAAGATTAAAAGAATTAAATGTGAGTAGGCTTCTCAAGAAAGTTCTGTGTTACACAAAAGAGCTGTGCGCAGTTTTTCAGAATAACACCCCTGCCATGGAGATGAAATTTTTGGGATTGTATGAGTGGAGTTGGTTAACTGGGGACAAGATGTAATGTGCTGTTACTTGGAATATTTAATGGAGAGCTGCATGTCCTTTTTAAAGATACGCAGTAGCTCTAATGGGATCCAGGAGCTTGCCTCCAGGGTAACTGGGTGAACACCACCGATCAGACCAGATCTTCATCATGCTTTTTATCTGGCTTCAGAATCTATGAAATAGCAGCTTGTAATAGCAAATGCACATTACTGTTCATAATAAGCAATTTTATATTTTACGCTTCCATTACATATCTTGTAATGTCTGTTGCTGTCACACTGCACACTAACAATACAGTAAAAATGGGATCAAGAAAAAAAGCTGCACATGAGATCAGTTAACTAGACTGTGTACTCAGACCTCTGCACCCTAGAGAAACAATTTCTACCTCAATAAAATTTTAGATTCTGCCTTTGACAGTGTAATACCTTTTTCCCCACTATCTTTTAAAATTTTTAGCTTGGAGATGTCATCAAGTTACTTGCATGTGAATGGCTGGTGTCCGTTTGAAAATGTTTTGATGAAAAGTACAGCGGATTTACAGTTTATTAAGAAACTTTTTGTAAGCCAGGCCTCAAATAGCAGCTGGTTCTCTGCTAAAAAGTAAGCCTATAAGGAGCTCCAGCTGAAAATAAGTACCTGCCCAACAAGATGTGAGCATGGAAGGCACTGTTTTCAGATCAGGAGAACAATTTTCTGATAGCACTAGTATTTGGCAAAACCAAGATAAAAAAATACCTGAGCCTGGAGGTAGGGGTTCCGTTCAGTGCATTTGCTGTTTGCATGCTTAGCTTAAAAAGTCCTCAGTCTGCTCACAGAAAATGTATTACTAAAAATACTATTTCTAAAAATACTTTGTTTATGAAAGGCTTATTGAGCAAATAAACCATTTTTCTCTGAGTGGGATTACTTCTTAAACTAAACGTGGGCGAAAACTATGCCACAAAAGGAATGTTTATTGGAGATCACTAACAAGGACATATTTTAAGTTTGCTGAATACACAATAACTGCATCAAGCTATATATAAAGGATAACATACAGTAAGAAGCAAGAAAGTCAGTTCCTTTTATGCATGTTTTAGTTTCCCGTTGTCTGCAGTGTCTTTACTGAAAGCTGAAAACAGAGAACCCAATTCTGTCAGTCTTATTCAGACAAAACTACTGTTAGACTCGGCAGTGAGAATGCGATTGCACACCGGTTTTAGTGTTCTAGATCAGTGGTTTCCAAGCTTTTCCAGAGCTCTCTACAGATGCACAGACCTTTGTTTTGTGTATTAACCAGCCTGAAAACAGATTTACAAACCGTCAGCAAGCCCTTGGGAGTGTTCGTAGCAGAGTACGTGAAGATGTGGCTCTGCTGGTATGTAACCAGAACACACGGTGTTCTTCTCATGTATTTTAGAGACCACTAAGCTCAGTGTCTGGAGCCCCATCTCAGGGCAAGCACCCGAGCCCCCATGGGGCTGCTACAAAGGCAAGAGGGGCTTTCTTGGTGATACTCCTTTGCTGAGGGTCTTCTGTGTGAACTTCACATGTGACAATTTCCCAGAGTGACTTTTTGAGGATTGTTCTGTGCTCCTGGCTGTGTGTGTGCATGCTCCATCTCACAGCCTGCTCCTCCTCAGTCATTTTCCATTCCTCTTTCTGCCCGTTAGACACACACCTCACACAACAGTGGGGGTTCTTCTAACATATTTACCTCATACCTGCCGATTTAGACGTCTGCCTTAACACCTTTCCCTCAGGCTGCCGCGGGGTGCCGCGGCCATCCCCTCAGGGCCGGCACCTCCCGCTCCCGCCTCAGGGGAAGGCGGCGACACCCCCGGGCAGGCACAGGGGGTCCCGCCACAGGAGAACCGGCTCTCCTCAGCCCACCAGCACCCTGACACCGCTCCGTCCCTCGGGAGTCCCCCCACCTCCCGCCTTCTCCCCCCGCCCCGGACTCACCTGTAGGCCCAGGGCGAGGCGCTGCGCAGGTTGACGGGGAGCCGAAACCTCTTGTCGCCGGCCGGCCGGCTCCCGGCGGGGCAGCTGGCGTTGTGGTGGCGGCCCGGCGGCTCGGGCTGCAGGGTATGGTGGAAGGCGCTGAGCATGCCCGCCGCCAGCCGCCCGTACAGCTGCTCCAGCAGCTCCTCGGGCCGCTCGCCGCAGGTCCGGGTCCGCGCCGGCCGCTTGGGCGCCTTGACGGCCTCCGGGCGGAGCGGGAGCAGCGCCGCGCACAGCAGCGCCGCCAGCACCTGCAACGACGCCGCCGTCAGCGGGGCTGGGACCGGCCGCGCCCCCACCCCCCTACC